CAAAGCTTTTATGAGGATTGCAAACAATGCACACCATGATTGTTGCTTTTTGAATAAACTGTGTTTTCAGTTTTTTTTTTATTTTCCTCAAAAAAGCAAATTTTTTGAGGAAAATAAATTTTTAGGCCTCAATATCTCTGCAGCTAGGGCAGGTACAACAATGTGTTAGACCTATATTAGAGTACGCCTGCCAACTATGGGATCCATCGGAAGCCAGTCTCATTTCTCAAATAGAAGGTATCCAAAACAGAGCAGCTAGGTACGTACTGGGCAGGTACCGTAGAATGGACAGTGTCACAATGATGAAAAAAGAATTGAATTGGGAATTGTTGTCTTCACAAGATGGAAGTTAAGGCTAAAACCGTTTTTTTTTTTTAATATATAACAACAAGGTAGGCATAAACAAAGATAATTATTTAAATACACCTTTTTATGTTTCTATGCGTAATGATCACAAACAAAATCCGTGAATACCGGCCCAGGATGTGCATGTTTGCGAATTTTTTTCTTAAGTGTGTAGCAGAATGAACAAGCTCTCTGAAGAAGAAGTTCTGTAAATGAAGACCTATTTGTATCTCTGTTGTAAACCCCCCTGCTGTGTAACACTCAAGGGCAATGCGGGAAAACTCTTTAATAAAGAAAAAATTATTTTGCAGTGGAAACCTGTATGTGTGTTGAATGCAAGTATGGGAGCAGAATTTAGAGCACAAGCCTTTTTAATTATTACTAATCAAAATTGTAACACAATTCTAACTGCTTTTGAAAAGAGATAGTTCACTTTGCTGTAAAATAACCAATGAAGGCCTAAAAACAAAGAACTCTTCCATACTTTCACTCTATAGTCATTAGTCTATGTTGGCATATCATAAATATCACTTTTAATTAAGCACTTTTTTTCTATGGTGGCCTTAAACATTAGGGGGTGAACTTAAGTTATCCCAGGAACAAGGTGAGTTACAGGAAATACAATTAAATATTTGAAATCAGCAGAAAAAACTGCATAACCCTGTGCGGTTTGATAAGATCACTGAAGAAAAAAAAATGTCTATGACCAGTCTGCCCCCTTAAAGAGAGCAGTGCACCTACAAGAAAATGTATACGGTGTACCCTGCTTATAAGGGACACCTCATATAAGAGACCGGAATTGCTCCCCGTGCATGCCTTTTATAAAGGGGTTCAACTGTATGCATATTTGCTATTTCGAATTATAGATATATTAAACTATTTCGCGAACCCCTACGAGCTCAATATATCTAGGATCGACTATTTATGACTGTGAACACAAGATCTTTTACTGGCGGACGCAGTTCATTGCGTCTATATTAGCGCTAAAATGCAATACACTTTCAATTGTCATCTTTTTCCGACTCAAAACATGCAGATATGCTTTTGAGAAACCGCCTCCGCTTGACGCATTATCCTATGCTGACGAGTGGCAGCGTGAACATTGCTACCAAAGGGCTGAGCAGCAGCTGCCGACGAAGTAAGTACGAAAAAGTCTCGTGGCTTCCGCAAGTAGCTCTGCCAACACGCCTTTCAGGGCTGATTGTGGAGGCGACGAGAAATTAATAACGAGATGGTAAGAAAGCTCACGTGACTACGAGCGTTCGAAAACTTATTCTACCTGCTTTTTATATTCAAAAACAGTTAAAAAACATTCAATGAAAGCAATTAACCGCAGTTTACAAGGCGGGCTATTGGCATCGCTATCGTTTCACCCCATTGCTAGAGGAGGAACTAAAACTTTTTTATTACAGTCGAATCTCATTAATTCGAACACTCTTATTTTGAACTTCAGGTTAATTCGAACTGACGCCGTGGTCCCACCAACGCTACGTGTATTCTAATGGGGCAAAAACACCTGGTAATTCGAACGCGCAAGCACTTGCGGCGGTTAAATTGAACATACCGCGCTCACAAAATGCTCTCAGCACAATGGAGCAGCGGCACCTCCGACAACTCAACCCTGCGCATGAAGAAGGAAAAAAAAGAAAAGGCTGCGGCAGAATGTTTGCTCTCTCTCTCAAATGCCGATCTGCGAAGCGCCTGTGCCAGGCTTCTCCCTTTTCCGTCCCTGCCACGTAGAGACCCTTCTCATTTCAACGCCACGCGCGGGGAAAGCAAAAAAAAAATGCCATGAAATGATGGTTTCTCTCTCTCTCTCTCTCTCTCCACATGGAGACACTCCTTTCTCGTCTCGTGCTGGCCACGCTATGGCTGCAGCGCAGAGGTAGCAGTGGAAACAGTCATCTTTAGAGAGTGTCGGTGCTGGACATCACCGCGCACAACTTCTCTTGACAGGAACATGCTGAAGCCGAAGTAGAAATGCTTTGCAAGCTGTGTGCGAAATTGATCGACTAACTGCAAGGCAAACATAAGCAGACACGCATCACCGATTACTTCCGATTACTTCAACTAATGACAGATGTCTCCTGTGATTTGTGAATAAATGCAATTTTTCTGAAACTTCCTCCTCGTGTGTTAGTTCAATACACATGTGTGACTGCATGGTGAGCCCTCCGTTCATTTAGCTTTCATTACTTTGAACCTCTTTTAATTCAAACAAATTTTCGGGCCCATTCGAGTTCGAATTATTTAAATTCGACTGTACCTTCTCAGAACGAAAAACTTGCTTACCAAATATCTACATGTTTTTAATTAATCACTGCAGGTTTAACCACTGCCAAGGGAGAGCTTTCCGATGCAAAATCAAAAACCCCGTAGGGGTAAAGTGGTTGTCAGACACTTTAAAGATTTTTTCCATATGCAACAATAGAACAAAATTCTTTTTACAAAAACATTGTGCATATTACTTCAAATGTGAATGCGTTATAGCGACATAATTATGAATAAGTTCTCACAAAACACTACGCAGGTACAAATGTGTCTATGACTGGGACTGCACAAAGCATCACAATACTATGTCGGCACCATCATGCAGTAACCCTGCCGTCCTGCACCCTTTGCGTATGTCGGCGACCGTGCAGTAAAGGCAGGCAACTGCTACATCAGAGTCTGCACGTGGGTGACTTGAAGTGCCCAGCTGTTGTGCGGACCCCCAAAACAAGATTTTATTTAAAAATTAGCACTTCCTTGGCATGATAAAGCAGCACTACAAGATTTCTGGACCGCTATTTCGATCCCTCAACGACAACTTAATTTTTGCCTTTAGTGTCCTATCAAAACACAAGTCCTCTCCAATTAATCGAAAGTTAAAAAGTCATATCAAATTGTTTGTGTGGGTATTATTTGTTTGAAATTGAAACTCGTATATCCGCATGCCCCAACAATTTTGTAGTCTCCTTCCAGTTTGAATTAACGAGTTTTTAGTGTTCGCTTAGAGAGCGATCTAAAAGCTATGGAGAAAGAGGTATGACGAGGCCAGAAGAGGCATCCCTTCGTCAGCCCATGTCATATGCAGACTACTTTTTTTTTCTTCTTCAAACACCCAGTTACATTCAGCGTTACCGTGAGCGCAACCACATAGCAGCGTTCTGCGGCAGCCGTGGTAACCATGCAACACACGATACAGTCGAACCTCGATATATCGAACGGCGCGGCGATCGCGAAATAGTTCGATATATCCAGAATTCGATATAAAAAAATCATGAAAAAAATGCGTCAACAGCTTGCTGAAAACAACCAACGAACCGTTCAAGCGTGGCGCAGTAAATACTCACTTGAAGATTCAAACATAGTATTTATTGTGTTGGTTTAAAATATTGAAGAAGAGTAGCCTGCTTTTTGTTGGCCATGGCGTGTTTGACGACTGCGTCTTCAATATAGTCCAGGCGATCCATAAGTGATAGGCCGGTGCCTTCAATTGCGCCGCAGTGGCGGCGCACAAGGGCCAAGGCAGCTACGACCTCAGCTGATGTCGGGAGCGGGGCACGATCAGCGCTTGCGGGATCCACCTCTGCAGTCTTCATTTGGCTTCTCAGCAGTAGCTTCGGCGACAATCTCCACATCTGTGAGCTCCGCCGTGAGCTCCACCGTTCTGAGTTAGACCGGTCGCGCGCGACAGGCCTAACTCCGAACACACGAACACTGCGAGCACAACGACCGATGCCTGCCGATGCTACGAGGGAGGAGCTTGCAACAAGTGCGCAGTGTGCCGTTGACACCATAGAGACTGCAACGAGTGCAAGCTGCAAGGCTGCGGCGTGAGTCCGGGTGTAAAGCGCGCACATGGCGCGCCCATGCCGGCTCGCCTGACTGCTTTCCCTTTCACGGCGGCAGCGCGGGCCGGGTCCGAGACAGTCCTCTGCGTCCTTTCCCTCCTATACTTTCCTCCTCAATCTTTACCTCCCACACCCCCTTCACCCGCGCGAAGCCGTGTCAGTGCCTTCGTATTGAAAGACAATAACAGCTCCGCGCTTTTCTCTTCACTTTCTTCATTCAAGAACCTCTACCGCAAGGCTGCGGCGCGCGTACGCCGCTACGTTAAAGCGGCGCTCTCGGCGCCATCGATGTGTGCAGCATTCGTAAACGCCCACCGCTCTACCGCTACTTTCGAGAGTTGCGGGAAAGCTCGCCGCCTGTCAATGGAGCGCGGGCGGTTTTGGGGTGGCTGAGTATATGTCAAACTTTGTTCGAAATAAAAAAATCAATAATGCATGCGATTTCCGGAGTGATATAGGAACCGTTCGATATAGGCAATAATTAGATATATTCGTGTTCGATATATTGAGGTTTGACTGTACTCAAATCAGAAAATGGTTGCGGAAAGTGGGTTTATGGTGGAGTGATATGGCATCATTCGTTCAGACACAAAGGAACGATTTCTAGATGACTGAAAAATAATTGCAAACTCCTGGTCGCATCAGCAATATATTGTTTTCGCTCGCACGTTCTCAGGAAATTTTGACTGTCAATCGGCAGTGTTTCCTGACCATGCTGAAAAAGTGTTGCAGAGCCTATTTGAGCAGTGGGGTGGGCACGAGGGCACAAGCTACATTTGTTGAAAAAAAAAAAAAATGTCATCTCGAGGTAAGACTTACCGAAAGTTAGACTACGGAAAATTTATTCTAGGCATCCTCTTGACTTTTCCTAACACACTGCGCAACTCTCCGCTTGAAGTCGGCATAGTTTTCCCTCCACTGCTTCTGTAAAACGAAACAAAGAATAATATGTCATATGAAGACTATTGTACTGAAAAACAATATGTTGCAAACAGCAAGATTCCTAGACTACATCATATGTACCGTATAAAATTGGGACACAAATGTAGTAAAAATGGTAGAACCTAAAACAGTATTTTCATAACAATCTCAGTATTAAATGAGGTGGAACTGCAATACGCAACCAAGTACTGAATGTGCTTTAGTCCAAGAAAATGTGCGACTACAAAATTCACACTACTGTCAAACACACATAACCCTCCTTAACAGATGTTTCAAAACACGAAAAAATGCTCGAATCAACTGCATGCAAAAGCACCAAATGTGTAATGGAAAAGGCCCCCGAATGGTTACTAGATTGAACATACTTTTCTTCACTGCGTCATGTCATAAAGGCAAAGCACATAATGCGATAGCAACCAACTAAAGTGTTATACAAAGTAAAGCCAACAGTGTTACGAGCAATATGAACTGAAGCAAAAATATGAGCTTGCAAATTAAGCAGGTGTGGTGCAGCATGACGAAACCCTGGGAACAGATTGTCATCATGAAAGGTAAAAGTAGAACAGGCAGTGATGGGAGCGACATTTTGCTTTTTGGAGCAGATTCTGGAGCAGAAAAAATTATGTTTTGGAGCAGCCTTAAGAGTCTTCAGAACAGAAAAGAATGCTATAGCTTAGGGTTGCTTATTGGTGTTTTTGGAGCAGATGCATGTTCCTAATGACTCCTGAATTCTCTATTAATATGTCCAAAACCGCCGTATGATTTATGAAAGACACCGTAGTGGAGGGCTCCGGAAATTTCGACCACCTGGGGTTCTTTAAAGTGCACCCAAATCTGAGCACACGGGCCTACCGCCTTCATCGAAAATGCAGCCGGGATTCGATCCTGCGACCTTCGGATCAGCAGCCGAGTACCTTAGCCACTAGACCACCGCGGCGGGCCGACTCCTGAAGTCTAAAACATCACTTAGCATCTAATTTATATTTGTTATTATACACGCCTTATGCGAATATGCAGCTAGTATACCAGCAGTATAGTTGGCATAAATCATGGGCAAGAGAGCCGGACTTTTCTTGTGTTCAGGCTGGAGAGGACACCCCTTGCAAGTGTCCCACTTGAAATTTGGCTTTAGCGCGTGATATAATTGAGTTAGCAGTTGAGTATAGCACAATCAACTTTTTAAAAGGCTTTTTATATTTTACTGCATACCTGTGTTAAATGCCCCTCAGCTGTGTGAACTATGGAAATTGAAAAAAAGTGAAAAAAGAAACTGAATAGAACTCTGACCCCGTGCTCATTTTTTTAAACATTATTTGAAAGCATGATTTAATTATTATATCAATAAAAATACGACAGGCCTGATATGTGTCACTCCTTGAGATATTTCTGGATTTACACCACTGAACAGCATTCTAGGATGATAGTGTATACAGCTTGCTTTTGGTTTTGCTTAAGCTCACGGGATGGTCCCATGGTTCTACTTAATTCTCTTTAGTTTGCCAACATCCTTTCCGAGTAGGTTGGAGCATTTACTAGCAAATATAGCACTTTGGAGCAGCATTTCTCTTTTGGAGCAGTTTGGAGCAGCACTTCCATCAGTGAATGGGTGTGTCAATCACAAGCAGTGCCCACAGAAATTACAAGGTAATGGTGAACAGAGATCAAAACACATAATAGTGATGACTGCTGGAGGTGAATCAATACAATTCAATAAAAATTGTAGCCCAGGCAATGCTTGCCAAGATGATTTCAAAAATATTATTGCTTTTAAGTTGGTTGGGTAATTGCAGAGATTAAGTATAGATTGCTTATCAAAACAACGGCAAGGAGATTCCCGTAATGGGGTCAGGACCTCGTCAAGCTCTTGAGCTTTTAGTCCTGTGCTCGTCCAATCAAAAGCAAATAAAATGACTCAATGATTGATATTTCAGCAATGACAGCTGGAAAGACTGTGGTTTTGAATACCTGCAGATACCATTTTCTAATATATATACTATATATATTTCATATATTATTTCATAAGAATAAATATATCAGAGTGCAAGAATATACATGAAGCATTCTTCCATCATTTATATATTCCTATAAATGACGTTGCCCTTGCATGGAGCGCGTCCAGTTGGATGCCAACACTCCTTTTCTTTTGCTCGTCACACTGCGACTGGTGCACTTTAAGAGGAGATGCTATATGAAAAAAAAAAAAAAAGTTTTATCTACAGCTTAGGCACCTAGCGCAAACAATTTTATGGTAATTTGCATACTTTTCATTTTGTAACATGACAATTTGTAAAACATAGCACGCTTTTTCTTGCACTGTAAAGTTTTACTGTAATGAACCACTCATGGCTCATATTGCCCGACTTTAAATGTACAATGCAAATAACAACAAAACATGCATAAGGCATTTTAATGAACAAGAAGTGGAATGTGAGAAGTCTTTGAATGCTCAGCCCATACTAATTTGCTTACTTTATACTGATATTAATTATATAGGTGTTATAAGGTTCGAAAGGAGATGCTAGCACTCCTCACATGTTAAGAAATATACATGTGGGAAAAATTTCATGTTGGTCTGGCTATCCAAGTGCCAAAAATATTATGCCAATCTCATTAAGTTGCCCACAATTGCACTTTGAGCAAAACTCATTTTAAACGTTGAAGTTAAAGCAAAGAAATGCTTTTCGGAATTGTTTCTTCTTTCACAAGAACTTGGGAATCATAGCAATTTTGAGCATGTGGCTTTGGTGAACAACTCATGAGAAATGCAATACTAAACACACAGAAGACAATTTGCAAGGAACTCTGACAATCATCTCTTAATTTTTTTTTTTAGTATCCACCTTGTACTCTTTGATTAAAAAGTGATTTTAACTTTTGTCAAGCCTGATTACAACTTCGATTTCTTTTTTTGTAATAAAAGTATAGAAACTAGACTCGTGAAAGCAAGTAAAAACTAAATCACATAATTTTGGAAAAGACGTGTTTTTTGGAGTAGCGTCTCCCCTTAAGAGTCTTTCAAACTTGATTAATACATTTGGTTGAAAAAAAAAAAAAACAGACGGATCAACCGGCCCAAATTAAGTGTTTTAACAATAACAAGAATCAGCTATCTTCAAATACAATCTAAACCCTTTATAAGAGACACTGATATAAGAGACAAATGGGTATAAGAGACACCAGTGTGCCTAAAGTAAAATAAGGGTTGATAGCAAAAGGCATACATGGCACCCTGCCTATAAGAGACGTCTCATATAAAAGACAAGCATTGCTTCCCAGAGCGTGCCTCTTACAAAGGAGTTCAACTGTATAGTGACACTAAATTATAAGACTATAAAAAGCCTCCTGTAGGCTCTTCATGTCAGCAAAAGCACTACCAAGAAGTGTTGGACGCAGTGAACATTTAGAATACTGTATATAATTGCATAACAGGCGCATTTTTTATCCCTGAAAATACGGCTCCAAATTCTTGGCGGGGTAAAATAATGCAAGGTAAAACTGAAAATTTTATTTCCGATTAGTATAAACTGCAGATAGCGTATGCGTCGCCATACTCACAAATATCTGCACTAAAGCCAAAACAACTTCCTCCACATGGTGATGCTACCGAGGTCTCCAGATTTGGAGCAATTTTCGTAGCAGCAAAATTTTCTATTTTGGGGCACTTTGGAACAAGAAAATTTTCCATTTTAGAGCACTTCTGAGCAATGAAATTTTCTATTTTTGATCACTATGGAGCAGCAAAATGTTCCATTTTATAAAACTTAGGAGCAGCGAAATTTTTTACTTTGATCACTTTGAAGCAGCAAATTTCTATTTTTGAGCACTTTGTAGCAGCAAAATTTTCTATTTTGGAGCAATTTGGAGCGGCAAAGTTTTCCATTTTAGAGCACTTGGAAGCAGCGGAATTTTCTGTTTTGGAGCACTCCGAAGCAGCGCAATTTTCTATTTTGGAGCACTTTGGAGCAACAAAATTTTCCATGTTGGAGCACTTTGGAGCAACAAAATTTTCCATGTTGGAGCATTTTGGAGCAGCGAAATTTGTGCCACGAGCAGACCATCAAGAAGGTGACGCACAAGGTGTTAATTTTTTTGTGTTTTAGTGCCCGACATCATCTCAACTAGTCAAACTGCTGGGTGAAGTAACCAGGATTAGCCTGATGTCAAGTTAGTCACGATGTCGATAGCTGTGCAGTGAGAAAATTGACTTTATTATCAAAATAAAATATCTTAACATTGCTGAGCGTCAAACTTGTTTAGAGCTGTCTCTGTATACAGGAGATTGGTATGGCAGAGCAAACTCACCTCCGAAACACGGTGTCAGCACTCCTTTAAAAGGCCAATAAACAACTCCAAGGTCCAAAAATTGTTGTAAAAAAAATGTGCGCTTTTCCTTCATGAACATGCTGCCACAAAAATTTGGTACTTACGTGCTATATTAAGAAAGTTACAGGGGCTAGGAAATCGCGTTCTGAAACCCAGACATAAACTTGGCCCATTTTTTGGGGAGCAGACCATCGTGCCATCCGAGAGCAGCAACACAAAACATGTGTTTGATAGAGCGTGCACTGATCAACAGGTGGCACTATGATCTACTCACTCTGGAAAACTGGGTCAGTGACACGTCGAGATTTCGATACATTCGGCCTATGAGGAATTTCGCAACTTGTATGATTGAATAGCTCTGTCATAGCTATGGGTGGGAATAGGAACTGTCGTTGACGTGTTTGTTGACACCTGGTTTAGACCAATCGAAGAGCTGCGTCACTTCACCGATCACAGAGTTGGCGTCACTATGCGTGGAAAGGAGCAATGATCCGGCGTAAGAAAGGAGCACGGGAAATGTTTTTCCAAATGGAGGCTCTGCACAGCACGCAGCTCTGTAACATTCAGAAAACGTGATCGCTCCGATCTACTCCACCAATTGCCGAGCTTGTTTGTGAGGTGTAAATAAGGTCTGAGCCTGTTGACTGGCCCTTTAACAAGGCTTTAATTACAAAGCATGCAAGAGGAAGTGCATTTTCCAAGGTTATTGACACACAACGATGCAGTGGCAAGAGTGCACACTCACCGCCGCATCCACATTCGCGGGCGACTCGTCGTTGGGGTCGGCCAGCATGGAGATGACAGAGATGAGAATGGTTTCCACAGTGTGCACAGGAAGCCAGCGCTCGCTCGCCTTCTCATAGCCGTACTTGTCATCCCCTGGTTCGTGCAAGATGGAGATGCAGACGTCGCCATTCTTCTCAACTGCAAGACAAAATAGTGACAACACTGAGAGGTCAGCCGATGACCAGGTATCAAAGTTTGCATGTTTATCCATACTATTCTCTCTGCCGAGGCTCTGTGCCCAACAACGGATCTAGTACTTCTTAAAGAGACACCAATGGCAACTATTTAGTCTATGTTGATTGTTAAAACAGCAATCCAGAAACTTTGTAGGGTTACTTTTGTGCCAAGGAAAGGCTTACCTTGAAATAAAATCACGTTTTAGTGGCCCACATCGGGTTAGCGCACTTCAAATTACCCGCCTCAAGAAGCGGACTGTCTGGCGTCACTGTTGCCATGCAAAACGTTGCCCGGCTTTACTGCGCAGGCGCCGACACTATTAGACACAACGAAAGCAGTGGGAGCCACATAAACAATAACAGCCATTGACAGGGGTTGCACAGCTGAGACTAAATTGGGAGTAGGAAAACCTTCCTTCCGAGTAGTTGGCGGCATTTAATATTGTCACAGGTAATGGGTATGAGCCATCAACTGTAGGTGGAATCCCTTGGAAGTGAAGAAAGAAGAGGGCTTTTGCGTCCTGGTCTGAGGGCAAGCAAGACGTCGGTTCATCGCTGTCTGTTATTACGTTCGCGGCACTGGTGGAGGTGCTGGGTAAATGCGCCTCGGCTGCAGATTTTCAGCCGACACACCAAGCTACTTGGAGACAGCTACAACTCCCACGGCAAGAAGCAGTCGCCGCCTGCGAGGACTATCTCCCGAGTACGGTCCCCTCTCTCAAGACGAGATGGCAACTTCAACTAACAACCAGGCGAGTCAAACCAACGACGCCTATTCTTTTCTCCCGCATGTTTTTCATGCGCCGCAAACACCACGCTCATTTCATGGAGACATTTATGAAGATGTTGACGACTGGCTTGACCACTTCAATCGAGTTGCCAACATCAACGAATGGGATGAAGCTCGCAAGCTGCGGAGAGTTTACTTTGCATTAGAAGACTCTGCCAAAACGTGGTACGAGAATCACGAGTGTTCCTTTGCGAAGTGGCATGAGTTCAGCCGACAGTTTCGTGATGCTAACGCAGCACTGAAAGGAAAGAGAGAGCAGAGCAGGCTATCTCGTCTCGTAACCAACGACCCAGCGAGAGAGTTTCGATGTTTGTCGAGGACATGCTGCGACTCTTCAAGCGCGCTGACCCTGCAATGTCCGAGGAAAAGAAGGTGCGGCATTTAATGTGTGGGGTAAAAGAGCAGCTCTTCGCCAGACTCGTGCGCAATCCACCGACGACTGTGGCAGAGTTCGTAAATGAGGCAACCACAATGGAGCGTACTCTCCAGTATAGGTCGTCACAGTATGAACGCCACGACGTGACCCCTGCTGCATGCTTTATCGGGGCTGACAGCGAGAGACATGCTCTCGCTGAGTTCATAAGAAGCGTCGTGCGGGACGAGCTGCGCCAACTCCAAGCAGCGGGACCCCAACCACCCGTAAGTGCTCACAGACTTAATCCGAAATGAGATCCGACAGGTGGTCACCCCACTCGCGCCAACAAGGCCTGAGGCCCCTGTACTGACTTATGCGGCGGCTCTGCGATCTCCTGCACCACATGGCCCTGATCCCACCATGGGGAGAATGGATCAGGCTAGCCATCGATTCCAGGGCACCTCTTCGACTCCGCCACCCGCCTCAAGGTTTCCGAGTCCACCAACTTATAGTTCGTCTGGATCGCGGCAGAACGCCACAAAGGCCAGCGTGTGGCGTACGTCCGATAACCGTCCACTCTGCTACCACTGTGGCGAAGCGGGTCACGTCTACCGTAACTGCCAGTACCGCCAACTTGGTCTCCGTGGCTTTCACCCTGATGCTCGGTGCCCGCGTTACGGTGAGCGTCCCCGCGACATCGAAGCGTACCTTACGGGCCAGCAAGCTCCTCGCCTTGGCCAATGCCCCATTTCAAGATCACCATCACCTCGCCGCCCCACGTCACCTAGCATTCCCTCGTCATCTTTTGCTCCTTTCAGAGGCCGGTCACCGAGTCCCCACAGGGGAAACTAGAAACCGCGGCTCCTGGGGGTGAAGCCGCGTCCCAACGAACTGTCAAAGGGCCTCCTTCGACGCAAAGACCCGACGAAGACTGTTCTGACTTTCCAGTCGTTTCCGAAAGTCGTAAGACTGTTTCCGTTGACATCACCGTACACGTCGATGATCACGTCGTCACTGCCCTCGTCGACACCGGCGCCGATTATTCGGTTATGAGCAGCACCCTAGCATCCCAACTGAGGAAGGTAACTACCCCTTGGCAAGGACCGCCGTTGCACAGGCAGGCGGCCACCTCGTCACGCCGACTGGAATGTGCACAGCCCGTGTTCGAGTCCGTGCTTCGACGTTCACAGGGTCTTTCCTCGTATTACCTGTGTGCTCCCGTCCAATCATTCTGGGGCTGGACTTTCTTCACGAACACAGCGCAATTATTGACCTAAGAGACTTGCAGGTGTCGTTCGAGGACCCGTTTCATCCTGAACCGGAAAACGCCCGCTCATCGAAGGCTGCCCTACGTGTATCCTCCGAATTTGTTACTCTGCCTCCCCGCAGCAGCCTTTTTATCAACGTTGAATGTGACCAAGACGTCCCCGATGCTGTAATTGCAGAAGGAAATTTGTCCCTACTTTTTGCACAACAAATCTGCGTTGCCTGAGGTATTGTTCAGCCCAGTAGAAAGCAGGCTTGCCTATTCGTCACGAATTTCAGCGAGGAGTATCGCCATCTTACCAAACACACTGCGATCGCATACCTTGAGGATATTGCCAACGTCCCTGGTCCCTCAACATTATCTGCTTTTTCGTCGTGCGACGATTCCGCCATGACATTTGCAAGCACTCTCGACGTAAACCAGGGTCTACCGTCTGCACAACGGGAACGTCTTTTGAAGCTACTCGGCTCATTTCGGGACTGCTTCGCTACGACTTCGAAAGTTAACTAAACACCGCTTGCCAGGCATCGTATCATCCCCGAGCCTACCGAGAGACTTATTCGACAGCATGCCTACAGAGTCTCGCAAAAAGAACAAGACGTTATACGCCAACAGGTCCAGCAGATGCTCAAGGACGATGTCATCCAGCCATCGACCAGTCCCTGGGCGTCCCCTGTTGTGTTAGTAAAGAAAAAAGATCGTACTCTGCGATTTTGCGTCGACTACCAAACGTTGAATAAGATCACGAAGAAAGACGTGTATCCTTTACCACGAATAGACGACTCGCTGGACCGCATTCGCAATGCTCGTTACTTTTCTTCCATGGATCTACGCAGCGGCTATTGGCAAATATCTGTTGATGAGCGCGACCGCGAAACGACCGCCTTTATTACTCCTGACGGACTCTAAGAGTTCAAGGTCCTTCCCTTCGGCTTATGCTCGGCACCAGCTACTTTTCAAAGAATGATGGACACTGTTCTTTCTGGGCTAAAATGGCAATCGTGTCTTGTCTACCTTGACGACGTGGTCGTCTTCTTGGACACGTTTGAGCAGCACGTCGAGCGCTTACAGGCAGTTCTTCAGGCGATTCGAACAGCAGGACTTTCTCTCACACCTGAGAAATGCCACTTTGCATTCGAGGAACTAAAATTTCTTGGTCACGTCGTCAGCCACGCCGGTATACACCCAGACCCTGAGAAAACGAAAGCTGTTGCCGCATTTCTGGGACTCTGCGCATATTCCAGACGCTTCGTCAAAGGCTTTTCTAAAGTCGCTGAACCGCTAAATGAACTTACGAAAGACGGCGTACCGTTTGTTTGGTGTCATGATCAGCATCACGCCTTTGACGCGCTACGAAACCATCTCCAAGCCCCACCTGTACTCTGTCACTTTGACGATAACGCTGCCACAGAGCTACACAAGGATGCCAGCAACGTCGGACTTGGAGCTGTACTGGTTCAATGGCAAAATGGCGTAGAGCGCGTGATTGCCTATGCAAGTCGAACACTATCATCTGCAGAGAAAAACTACCCTGCAACAGAAAAAGAATGCTTAGTCGTTGTTTGGGCTATAACAAAGTTTCGCCCTTATTTATACGGTCGACCATTCAGGGTAGTTAGCGACCACCATTGTTTATGCTGGCTCGCCAACCTCAAAGACCCTTCCGGTCGTCTAGCACGCTGGAGCCTTCGGCTGCAAGAATTTGACGTTACAGTCATTCACAAGTCAGGACGCAAACACACTGATGCTGACTGTCTCTCGCGTGCACCAATTCGAAGTACGAACGCGGACGTAGAAGAGAACGATACATTCCTTTCCTCTGTGTCAGCAACCGACTTGGCTCAACAACAACGCGACGACATGGAGCTAAGCCCGCTGATTGACTACCTCGAAGGCCGAAAACGCAGCCTTCCTCGAAACTTTGCACGTTCGCTGGCCTCGTTCTGCATCAGGGATGGAGTCCTCTATAAGAAAAATTTCGACCATACCCAGGCTACTTATCTACTGGTTGCGCCGACCTCGCTTTGGGACGATATTTTACATGCTTGTCACGACGAACCATCATCCGGACACCTTGGCTACACGCGCACATTGGAAAGAATTCGCCGCTCATACTACTGGCCCCGCCTCGCGAAGACAGTCAAGCTGTACGTCCGCACATGCCGCGACTGCCAACGCCGTAAGACTCCACCTGTCCGACCAGCAGGACTATTACAGCCTATCGCCACACCGAAGACACATTCCATCAAGTTGGCATTGACTTGCTCGGCTCATTTCCCACCTCTTCATCTGGAAACCGGTGGATTGTGGTTGCCACCGATTATTTAACGCGTTACAGCGAAACAAAGGCCCTGTCCAAAGCTACCGCAGCCGAAATTGCACAGTTTTTTGTCACCAGCATCGTACTTCGTCACGGAGCACCAGCTGTGATAATTACTGATCGTGGTACAGAACATCGGAAAACCACGGGTTATCACCCCCAAACAAATAAACTCACTGAACGGTTGAACAAGACCATTGCAGATATGCTGTCAATGTATGTGGCCGTTGATCACAAGAACTGGGATGATATACTCCCTTACGTAACTTTTGCTTACAATACAGCAGTCCAAGAGAGTACAGGTTTCACCCCATTTCGCTTAGTTCATGGTCGAGAGGTCACCACAATGCTCGACGCAATGCTCCTTCCCAACAACTTAAGCATGTTCAACACGGACGCTGAATTGTTCGCTCAACGCGCCGAGGAGGCCCGTCAACTCGCCCGATCCCGTATTCAGGCTCGCCAAACTGCCGACGCACACCGCTACAGCCTTACACACCGAGAGGTTACCTTCCAACCAGGCGATGAAGTTTGGGTGTGGACTCCCATTCGACAGCGTGGTCACTCTGAGAAGTTGCTTCGGCGCTACTTCGGCCCTTACAAAGTTCTGCGCCGACTCAGTGACGTTACGTATGAAGTTCTCCCTGAGGGCGCCTCAAGACGTTCCCGTCGGTTTCCACAAAGTGATGTGGTGCACGTGTCAAAACTCAAGCCATATTTCTCGCGTCATCCATTGAACGTGGACTAACTTACCATGCAATGACTATTTTTTTGTCACTTTGGTTTTTTTTTTATTGTCTTGTGTACTTACTCCTTTCTTTATTGAGTACTTCTAGGACGCCAGCCCATTTTTTTTTTTCTCCCTTACGACGGAGTTGTTGGGTTCCATGATAGCATTTATTTTTCTCAACGCTCATTACCAGCATCGAGCCGATGTTTTTCGAGGAGAGGGAGTAATGTCACAGGTAATGGGTATGAGCCATCAACTGTAGGTGGAATCCCTTGGAAGTGAAGAAAGAAGAGGGTTTTTGCGTCCTGGTCTGAGGGCAAGCAAGACGTCGTTTCGTCGCTGTCTGTTATTACGTTCGCGGCAATATGTCGTCCTGGGAGCTTGAAAATACAAATTTTTGGCAACATGGGGGGCACCAGCGCGTATTTATTTGGCTTATAATACTACTGAAACGAATTTTGAAGGAAGTTTTTTAAACAGATTATATCAAGGTATAAACTGCATTACCTTTTTACACACGTGAACTATCTAGTTCTCTTAAAAAACAATAATATTTCAAAAGATAAGTTTGAAGCCAGTTACAAAGAAAAAAAAAACATTCCGTTTTATCACGAAAGACCAAGTTTGGAGCCGTACAAAAAGAAGTATGCACAAAAAAATATGTACAAACCATTTAACATCCCCTAAATCCTGCAGAGTGAATATAAGCACTGCTATTTCAATAAAAGTAGTATTTTGAACCATACCAGTCAGCAAACAATGATAAATTTCACATTGGCAGTCAGCCAGTCAAATCATTGGACAGGCTCTGTGAAAATCGAAATGAGATCTGCCAGGCTGGCGGCCTTGATATTTGGGAGGCTCGTAAAAACTGATAAGTAAAGGCAGCAAAAGAAAACTAATGTGCTGTTTTGTTTGATTTTTAAGACTGTAGCAATATCCTACAGTGCTCCAAATGATTGCCAGTAACTTTTTTAGATGTCAGCGATCATATTAGCACTCATTATAAGGCGTATACACGCGAGTAATTGAACAAAAGTGCTGCACCTCGTGACTAGTGCCTACAGCCCCTTCTAAATTTTAGAACTGTTTTCGTAGGCCACCCGTGTATTGCGGCAAAGGTGACCTAAGTGGTGTTCTGCATGGGTTAGGACAAGGGTACTGTGGTTAACAAGCTGACAAGGCCAAGAAATTTTCAGATTGCTACACTACCCACCCCCTAATCCCCTTTCTTTTCACAGGGGTGCAACAGCCAAAATACAATTTGTAGCGATTTCTGGAGCAGAAAAATTTTACTTTTGGAGCACTAAAATCCAAACTTGGAGCAGGTTATGGAAAAAAAACATGCATCTTTTTATCATAAAATATAAAGAAACATAAAAAACAAGGCTTTCATTTGGAAAAACAATTATGTACAAACCGTTCAACATAACTTAAATCATGCAGTGTGAACATGAGCACTGCTATTTGAATGCAAGTAGCATTTTGAACCACCCCACTGACCAAACAATGGTAAAATCTATATTAGAATTTGCTGCACCTGTCAAATCATTTCACCAGACTCTGTGAAGTTAAATAAAGATTTGCCAAGCTTGCGACCTTGAAGTTTGGGAGATTTGTAAAAACGAGGAGTAGAGGTGACGAAAAAAAACTGGCCAACAATTTAGTTTTTTTTAGGGAAGCAGAAATGTCATACACAGCTTCAAATGATTGCCAGTAACTTATTTAGAAGTAAGTGATTATATTGGTACTCAGAATTATGCAGTGTACCAACACATCAGTAACTGAACGAAATGTGCACTGGCCCGTGACTAGCACTAACAGCCCTGTCAAAATTTCAATACACTTTTCCGCAGAGCACCGGTGTACTGCGGCAAAGGTGATTTAACCAGCATTCTCTGCATGTGTTACAACCAAGGCAAAGAAATTTTCTAACCTCTACACCACCCTCACCACTCCCCCCCCCCCCTTTTTTTTCACTGTAAGGTTAGGTGCCGCTTCAGCTGGCTTGCAAGGCACGTTCCACCAGGTAAAGTAACAACGGTGCGCATCTGTTGGCCCGGCAACGATACTGGATATCGCCAGCACCGTGGCCAGGACGACATAACTTCAAAAAAAAAAAAAAGAGTGTTTTATGTGCCACTGATAGGCAATCAACATGGTCCCTGGCAATATCGGCGTTCGCAGCACGATTGAGCTTGTTCACGCGAAGAGTACGCAACGTACACTTCTAGTTTTAGTTCCAAACAAGCCATACCCAGGCTGGCAGAGCATTTTGGCACAGCGTGGCACAATTTCACGGTTTAGGCGCAACTCGGCACAACAATCGAGAATCGTATCAAATCGGCGCAGCTGTTGCACCCCTGCAATGTGGGATAAAAAAAATCAAAATAAGACAACATATCTCATGCACAGGTGCTTAGAGATCAGGCTGCTAAGCTGTACCAGAACTAATTCTATTAAGCCAGTGTTGCTCAGGTACAACAGTGTCGCAGGGACCCATTCCACAACTCAGTGAGAGTCCCGAGACCCCAACTGTATAAATATAATGCACCTCATACCATTACGTTTTGAATAACACACTGATTTATTGACTGAAGACTATCGTATCATTATAAGGCATGATGTAGTAAGGGACTCCAGAATAAGTATTACTTTTTATGGTTTTTTTAATGAAAGTGCGTCCAAATTCGAACATGTACGGTGTCTGTGCAGTGCACCATCATCAAAATGCGGCTGCCCTCAGGTTTAGCAGTAGAACAAATCAGCCTTTAAGCCAGAAGGGTGGTATAGACAGCATATAAACAGCCAAGGATGACAAGCTGCACAGATGGCAATCACTTTTCAACTACTTAGCTGCTTTGAATTTGACCTGCTTCAAAAACTCAATAAACTTGTTGAATGCTAGCACCCTTCCAGCACAATGTCTGGCACTGCGGCAAGCTACAAAAGGGCAGCACACGTAACATCAAGACTTCTTTTTGTATGCATGTATTGCAACATTTCCCTAGCCCCTCCCTTTCAGTGTTCTTCAAAAAACATTTTTAACAAGGCGTTTATCGTACGATTTGGCACTACCGTGGTTCTTCTAAAAAAAATGTGACAAGGGACAGGATATACATCAGATATAAAACAAAAGCATGCTCCTACCACATGCACCGTCATACTTATGAGACTGAAATACGGCAGCAAGACATGTTAAATTGTTGTAAGCAGTGCCGCCACTTGCTTCATTACACCGGCTTGTTCACGAGGAAGTCGTGCCAGCCATTATGAGGCACAGCTCCTAGTAAATATTGTAATATACTTGCTTCTGTCTCTCACGTGCATTTGCGATCCCTGTGATAGCATATCATTGAAAAGAAAATCAGCGCCACATTAGAATGCAAACTATTTCCTTACGAGCCAATAAAAAATAGGTACGGTGCCCATTACAAATGCAATGTGTGACACAAAACTGGGCAAGTAATGTGAATGGCAGTAAATATCAAATTAAAGTAGCACTCTTTGTACATATAGCGTGCTTACTTTTCTCAACATGTCACATTACCAATTTAGCTTTGACCAAAACCCTAGTTGAGTGAATTAAAGACAATTTGTGGGTAGATGCACAGTTTGAAAGAAATCAGATTACAGCCGCTACGCAGTGAGCACCACTGTGAAGCTTGCAATACTCCTACTTACTGTTTGGGTGCCATATTTCTGTAATGAATTTCATCTTCGGCGGACGTAGCGGATACTCCTTTGGGAATTGCAGGTGTGCCTTGAAGAACCCACCCTCACTACAAGAGAAGTTGTGAAATAGCATGGTGAATAAAAATCACTGACATGCAATGTTGGTGAAAACAATACTAACAGTGTGCTTAATATTAGTGTAAGAAACACTTGTCACCATTCAATAGACTATGCAGTTCAGTTTCACTTAGCTGCTTGCAACAACGAGACTTTCACCAGAGGTCAGAAACAACCTTGGCAACAAGACCCAGTGACCACAATCAGATACGACTCGCAAGACAACATGTGCATTTGTGGGTATGCACGATACACAGAGATACAAACTGCACAACTGTCGAGACCATCGATCGCCACTGTGGATACACCAATATGAATAACTGGGCTAGCTGGTGAAGATTCATTGTGGCTTACAGCGTGAAACACCAATGTCATATAAACACAATAAGGTAAACCAGTGCAAGTGGACATAAAGACATGGTTTTATGCTAAGTTCATTGGGTGTAGCGCATCACGACAGGAAAAAAGAAAGACACGCACACACAGTGCTGTGTGTTTATGTGCTTCTCGGTACCCGTCATGATGTGCTACACCATATGAATTATGAATCCAATTCAACAAGCCTGGCAATGTGCCTTAGCAAATTAATGTCAAGACTTGTCCCATGAAGATGAAGTCTTGGCAGCTGGACAGTAATGTATGCTACACAACTCAAGTTGCATTTAACACAGCAGGTGATTATAACATCAGAAAACAGAGACAACCCATTCTAGTCTGTGTAAAACTGTTAGTATACGGGAAGTCTGAAGGAGAGCTTTCTTACATAGACAAATATGAGTGCCAAGACAAAGCAAGCTATCTTGTGTTCAGGTGTTCAAATGCACAGTTACTGTCACGGGGCACATGTAACACTTGCCTAGGAGCCGCAAAATGCATGAGTACTTAGATTCAGACTCACATTGAAGAACCCCAATGGCCGAAATTCGCAAATCCCTCTACTATAACGTCTCTCATAATCGTATCGTGCTTTTGGGACATAGAACCCAAACAATTATTGAGTACAATCTGTGACAACTGCATGATGAGAAACTCCCAAAATAAAGAAAATAGAAACTGCTCCGTCATTGTAAAAGAAAGTTTGTGCTAGCTGTGTTGACATAACACATTATCTCGGAAAACACATTTATATATGGTTTTAGATTACCACATGCAATATCCGAGATTTTAGAATATGACTGAGGCACGTTACATGGGTTCATTTAACGTGAACCTAAATATACCGACACGGTCCACTGTCATTTCACTTCCATCAAAATGCGACCCACAGCGGCCGAAATATAAAATCGGCGACTTTCGGGTCGGCAACGGAGCCCCGTAACCACTCCACCAGCGCGGCGGCAGACATTCAGACCAACACATACTCAACTTCACGAAAGTAACATCAAGTGACCCTTGACCCTGGACTTATAAATCACACACTAGCTACTAAACGTTCAATTCACGGCGGTCCAGACATGATCATCACGAGCTCGTAAGCTTGACAACAGAAGACACGCACCCATGACAACACCACACAAAACGGAACAAATTGTCGCTAACACGAAATAAATTACGCGCACTTACTACAGTGTGTCCGGTGGACCAATAATGAGCACCTCCCACTTGTAGATGTCATTGTCGTCTACCAACCCAGCAGAGAAGCCTTCCACGGGATTTTTCTTCAGCTCTACGAAACAGAACACTTCCTTCAGAAAAAAAAAACGTTTCCAACCTTGGCCGTTTAAAGCGCCAACACACGAATGCGGCAGTCAAAACGCAAAACACGGTTCCGACAACGCAACTCTTGCTCGCTCGTAGCAAGTATCGATGTGAAACGCACTTCGCGGGTGTGACAGGCAGAGTTCGCCGCAACATTGAGCATACCCCGGTGCACCACTGTTCCGCAGGATAGGGGAACAGCATCAGCGTTAGGTTTTATTTTTTAATAACGCAAATGCGCATCAGTCGATCGGGGTGCACCGGCGCAATGGGAGTGCGTGCCTTGTCCCACATGGCGCAACAGCGATCAACCCGGCTCCTACCCCGACCACGTTCAAGGCGCTGTGTGTTCGAAGCACAGAGTTTCACGCAATATTCGAGGCTTCCAAAAAAAACGACAAGCGCCGCGAAGCGCGGCAAGTGTCCAGTTAAATTGTTTGACCTGCGCAGCGGTCTTTCGTCATAAGGGCCGATCTGTGGTGAAGTCACGCCGCCAGGTACGTCACAGGCGAACGCAAGCAGAAACGAACACGCATTCGCTAATTCGAGCCGCTTACGAAGCGCGTTTCACATCGCGAGCAGGTTTACAGAGCGCAGCGTAGGTGAACAATAAAAAAAGCGGCACGATCAATCCAAGAGCAGAAAACGGCACCGGACCAAGTCGTAAGACCATTAGAGGCTCGCGTGTGAGATTTCAAAAGCACTTCGGACTTCGCAGCGCTTATTGCGCAATCAAGAAAAGCGTGCTGTCACTGACATTCAACAGGGTGAAATAAGTACAACGATCTACGAGCCTCTCGATGAGAGAGATACCGGGTACCCGAAACGAAAGAACGGTATTGAAAGAAAGTGCGCCTGTGCCAAAGCTACCGCTTGGGCCAGCGGCAAATAAAGTAATGGACAAAAGCGGAGAGGGAAAAAACGACTTGCAGGATGGGGGGGCTTGCGATTTTTTTTCTCTCTTCTTTGAAAAGAACCGACGCGCCGGAAGCGGGTTAAACACGAAAATGTCGAGCGGTATGACGGCCCTAAAAAGTCGCGGTACGGGGCAAGCCGACGGGAGGAAGACGCACGCTACGCAAGACAAATCATGAGGACGCAGCCTTGGGAAGCGAGGACAAAAGAAAGCAGTTAAAAGCGAGGCGGCACATTGCCGACCGGAACAGGTCCGGCGGTGAAGTAAGCACTGAAGCCGAGCTTGAGATACATGAAAAGATTGTGAAAGTTATGAACGTCACCGTTTAGCTGTTTTCGTAGCAACAGGGCCGACTGCTGATCTGCCATTCAGACGATATCAATCGTACCTCTTCACGCGAACAATAACTGACGGCAACTATGGCTGTCCTCGCACTGACTGAGCATGCGCTCAAACCATATGGTCCTTGTGTTCCGGTTCCGCCGCACTAGTGTTTACTGCGCTCCTGCTTGTGCAGAGAAGAAAACAACAGGCGCTTTTGCGACTCGTCAAACTTGTATTTCGAAAAGCTGTGTTCTGGAGAATTCGTAAGTTAAATTCTATAACTTTTGTATCGAAACCAGATATTCTCATCAGTAGGAATTGAATTTTTGACTTTACAAGTGCAAGTAAGAAAACTTACATTCCAACCACCGTGGCTAGGTTTGAACTTGCGACCTTTATCAGGTTCTTCAGTCACTCAGATACAGTGCAGAAGATCAGGGCCCAAAAAGACAGTAAAAAAAAATCAATAGCACGAAACCCCGGCGCTTGAGCTGTTGTTTTGCCTACCAAATCAGCAAACGTGTACTAGAAGGGATTTTTGAGGATTGGTATGTGTGGTTTAACGTCCCAATACCACCCTATGATTACAAGAGACGCCGTGGTGGAGGGCTCCGGAAATTTCTACCACTTGGTGTGCTCCCAAATCCGAGCACATGGGCCTACAGCATTTTCGCCTCCATCGAAAATGCAGGCTGCCGCAGCCGGGATTTGATCCCGCTACCTGCGGGTCGGCAGCAGAGTACCTTAGCCACTAGACCACCGCGGCGGGGCCTGCAGGACATTTTCAGAAAGTCAGTTTCGCCAAAAGGGCGAAGCAATGAATGCGATAGCAATATATTCAAATGTTTTGCGAAGCAGGGCTAGAATTTTTAGGAGCAATATTATTTGTAGTGCAACAGAATCGAAAGTTGGGCTAGTTGGGCTAATTGTAGTGAGCATGCGCTTGCCGAATAACCAAGTTTCCTGCGGCGCAGTCAGATGACGACAAGGCTCGTGTGACGGCGAGGCTGGCAGTCAACTTGTTTATATCCGACCTCACGTAACTCTGCAAGACGCTGGTGCAAGAGAACACGGCCGCTCCAGGTGCATCCTAGGCACCGTTTCTTTGTGTATAGAGCGCAGCCCGTAGAAGCTTACGCCTGCTGTGGGGGCACATCGTTGCCGCGATAGCGCGGCAACCATAAGCCCCTTTTCCCCTATTCACTCACGAGACAAGTGCACGCAGACGACCCCGGCCCGAAAGGCGATGCTCGCTCCGCAGAAATAGGTAGCTGGTGGATCCGTATGCAATAATGGCGGCGACGGCCACAAACCAACCGACTGTCCATAAAATTGCTATCGCAATAAAACTGCTTCCCGGGCGTCGCCATGGCCTTTCTGGGCTGCGCAAATGGGCGTGACCCCTCTCCCCCCAAGTGCCCTGCCACGGCCGCTGGATAAAAATGAAAAGATTTTTTTATCCTGCAGCCGTGGCCCTACCGAGACTGACGTCGGCCTTTGGACTCTCGCGCGCAGCTCAACATAACTGCGTTTTTCCCCTTCCGTGAAAAGGTGTTCTTTTACTAAAGCCGGCATAGTCAAGTTCATATTGCTAGTGCTACAAAGGCTACTGGCGCTTCACTGCTGGGAAATTCACACATATAACCGAAAGTGAATGTTTATTGAACTCCAAATGCGTAGACATCTCTTCCTGCTGCCGCAAGCAGGATCTTGTCTCATCACCCAGCAAAAGTTTTGCCGCTGTAGCCGACATTGGTCGCTGGCATGTCGAAGTAGTTGATGTACATCCTGCAATAAAAATTTCGCCCTGATGCATTCCCAATTAGAGCAATGAAAACAGGCGCTAAATACATATGCGGATAGCATGCAAAATGTGCATAATTAAGTAAGATTTGCCAAGAACAAGAAGACAACTGCTTTAGTTATATGTAAATCTCGAGACTTTGAGCACCAAGAATACGTACTTTGACTGCAAATGCTCACATCACAGTGAAAAAATTGAATTAGAAGCTATCATGTGGCAAATATGCAGTGTGTCCATTTAGCTGATATGCTGAATGAATGAAATAAAAAGATGGGCACTTCTATAATCACTTTGAGCTGTCTTCACCAATCATTTTTGTAACTGTTGAGATCATTCATGTATTGTAAGGTTTGGAGGGAAATGGAAGCGAGTATTCCTTGTATTAAGTACCTGTTGCCTTTGATGCCCAATGTCTTTTCAATGTGCTCAAACAGGACAGCTGAATGCTTCTTGTTCTCCTTCGGAGAGAGGCAGCCAATGCTGTACAGGTTTGCAATGGCACAAGGCTCATCGGTGCCTCCAAACGACAGCATCTGATCAGGACTTATGTGGACGACAACATACTGAAATAAGAGAACACACAACCGTGACAGCCACACGCGAGAGCAATGAACGCCAACTCTCATTATTGATGGCGCAATTCCAATGAATACATACTCAAGTATTGGCCGGAAGTGCTACTAAGAACAGCACTGTAATTTCTCAAAAAAGGACACAGTTTTAGACCGCGATACGCGGCGCTTTGCGCATGCAATCGACTCGAGTAGATATATATATGTGTGTGTGTGTGTCACCACCACTAAATGTAGCCTACCGAAATCACGTAATTATACACTAACCAAAATCATCTAACAGAATTGAAAACAGACATAAAATACCGGCTTCTCTGAGATCTCAAGAGCCTAGTGACTCAGTGCAATGCCTCCAGTGAGATAACAGGTGTGGTCGTCACGCCATGGCAATCTCGCCAAGGAAACGCCCTCCAGAACTTTGGATTTTTATCGATACGTCAAACATGCGTGAGGACGTCACCCAAAATCGAGCGATTAGAGAAGAGAGGACTTTTCATGCGCCGCTCGACGATGCCTCGAGTGCTAATGCTAATTAACTGCCATTCGTGCCTTCAGTGTTGGAGCTGTGTGCAAAGAGGCCAAAAATATACTCGGTGATAAGTTGCTTACAACCCATACCATTACATGGTTCCCAGCTCATATGGGAAACATGGACGGAGGGATCATAAATCTCAATGAGTTGGCCCACTCCAGGGCGCGAGGGTTAGCTGTCCGCGGCCATGGAGGACCTTTGGGTCGAACTGGAGATTTCGTAAACAGGGATCCGCCAACTACATATAATGAAATAACCCAACATTTCGCTATGGATAGGAGAATCTTTCCACCTCCACATGCGAAGCTAAATAGAGCGCAGGCGCTTACATTGCGATTACTTCAAACAGAAACGTACCCTAACCCTGCCTTTCTTCACAAGCTTTATCCTGATGTTTATTTAACCAACTCGTGTACAAAATGTGGCGGTTTAGCCACCTTACACCACATGCTCTGGGAGTGCCCTTCGGTACGTGGCACCGATACAGCATCGTCCAGAAAGTGGGACTCCGCTCTCCGGAGTCCAGACATAACATCGCAACTTTGGGCTGTCCAGAGGGCCCACGATGCGGCGCTAGGGCTCGGCCTTACTGTCCCATCGTGGGAGCGGCCCGCCGTGTGCTAGGGCGCACGCCTTCGGACTTGTCAATAAAGTTTTTCCAAACCAAACAAGGAACGCCACTCTACATGAATAGTTTCAGAAACGAAAGAAGAAAGAAAGGCAGCGTGTTTAAAGTAAACACACTTGATTAAGACGCGGAGAGGAAGCGGGGATTGAAAAGAAATGTTGAAAAATCGGTGAAAGAGTTTGACCGGCGTACGCTACATCACCGTTATCATACCGAGAGAGGTTTTCCCAAGGAGTCCGCCACAACGTTGGCTGTCGTCTTGAGGAAGTCGTTGGGAATCTTGCATGCGGGTACATTCGTGTTGATCGTAAGAGTTGGCATTTTGGGCTTTTAGTCGTCGACAAGCGCTCACAGCAAGCACTACACGCCTTTCGAGTAGCGGTAGACGAGATAAATTGCGCAACAAAAAGCGCGGGACGGAGAGAGAGCGAGAAGACACGGTAAGAGGGAGGAGGCGCACAAAAGTGTGCGCTCTCTTCTCATATATATATATATATATATATATATATATATATATATATATATATATATATATATATATATATATATATATATATATATATATATATATATATATATATATATATATATATATATATATATTCTTTTTTTACACTACCACTGAAGTTTTCAAGAACTGATAAACAAGTAACGCCAGCAACTTAAACAACATACTTTGAAACAATTTCTTTTTTATGCTTAGCGACCTGTAAACGACTCCACTGGCAACCCAACGTTGACAATCTCAAAGGCTGAACATTTAGTTTTTAAGTTATTGTTAAAACTGAGCCCAACAATTTTTGACATAATATACAATAAGGATAATGTAAAAAGCTGCAAAATATTAGAAACTTAAATACAGTTTTGGTGTGTTTTATTGTATTTTGTCATCACCACAGAGTTTCATACAGCTTTATGGTCAGCACCATTGCCATAGACAAATCAAGCTGGCGTCTGTTGTTTTGTTTCCGTGTATGTTTCCGTACGTTTTTTGCGAAGTCCTCGCATCTTTTCGCACGATCGCACGCCGCTTTAACCGGCCTGAATTAAGCAAAAATTGAGCGCTCTCACGGTGTGCCTTCGCAGCATCGCTAGCAAGCGGCCATGTTGCGGCTTTACTCGAGCCCGGCGTGACTTCCCAGCTCTGCCTGGTTGGTAGTCGATCCCTCACCCCCTCTACGCTCGTCTCCTCGTAGCTGCCGCAAGTTGATCATCGATACAGCCGAAAGAAGAAAAAAATGGCCGATTTCCTGCTCGAGCGCGAGCTTCCCAACCTCAAGGTTGCCGTGGACAGCAACACCTTGCTGGAAACTGACAATGACGACTGCATGGACTTGGACGAGAATTCCAAGACCGAGAGAGGAGCCGACATCACGGAGCCGCCACAGGTCATCGTGCCCGCACGAATCGCCGACCGCGATCGCAAAAGTTCAGACGTGAGTGGTAGTACTTTGATTCCTTTTTGAAATTCCGATTGCTAAACAATCAGGCCTTTTGTTTTCTCGTTTTTTCCCGCTGCGCCACGCGAACCGAGTTTTGGCAGTTCACGGTCGCCTTGCAACCCGTGGTGCGCGAGAACACTTGTTCCATATGTGCCGTCGCGATACAGTGAGTGCAGTTTGTTTAGGGTACTTTTCGACCACGATTCCGTCTCGAGATTTGCAAGTTTCAACACGGACATGCAGGAATCCTTTAGTTCTCGGTCGAGCCGCGATTTGCGCAATGCACCGCCGCATGGGCCCCTCCGTTGCTCGGCCGTGCTTGCGAGCGCACAACTTCATGCGGCGTGTCTGTATTCCGATGAATTTACGTGTCTTTACTTTGATCTTGTCGTCCACTTATTTCCGCCTTATCAAACGCCGTTCTTTGCTGCTACCTCGCTCGGTGTCAATTGCGCAACACATTAATAGCACCGATTGAAGATCGCCTTTACGATGTTCTCGGAAAGCGTTGTAACGGCGAGAATATTCGGCGCGGTGAAAGCTACCGCAAGGTCAAGTTCTTCCCGACCTGCACGGATGAGAAATGCGCATTATTTAAATGTGGTTGCACTCGCAACTCATGATTACGGAGTTAGACAAGGAGAGCAGAAAGGTGGGTCTTAAAATTAATCTACAGAAAACGAAAGTAATGTACAACAACCTCGGAAGAGAGCAGCGCTTCGAGATGGGTAATAGTGCACTTCAAGTAATAAAAGACTGTGTCTACTTAGGGCAGGTAATAACCGTGGAGCCGAACCACGAGATTGAAGTAACTAGAAGAATAAGAATGGGGTAGAGCACATTTGGCAAGCACTCTCAAGTCATGACAGGTAGGTTGCCACTATCCCTCAAGAGGAAGGTATATAACAGCTGTATCTTGCCGGTACTTAGCTACGGAGCAGAAACCTGGAGACTTACAAAGAGGGTTCAGCTTAAATTGAGGACGACGCAGCGAGCAATGGAATGAAAAATGGTAGGTGTAACCTTAAGAGACAAGAAGAGAGCAGAGTGGATTAGGGAACAAATGGGGGTTAATGATATCATAGTTGAAATCAATAAGAAGAAATGGACATGGGCCGGGCATGTAGCATGTAGACAGGATAACCGCTGGGCATTAAGGGTAACTAACTGGATTCCCAGAGAAGGCAAGCGGGTTAGGGGGATACAGAAGGTTAGGTGGGCAGATGAGATTAAGCAGTTTGCGGGTATAAGTTGGCAGCAGCAAGCACAGGACCGAGTTAACTGGCGGAACATGCGAGAGGCCTTTGTCCTGCTGTGGACGTAGTCAGGCTGATTATGATGATGCTGGACAGGCGCTGAATATGGCACGGTTACCAAAGTACGATTTGTTCATTTTAACTTTACTAAGGTGTGGGGTGTGACTAGTATTATCTTGTTTCAGTTCTGAATGTGTGAGTGCCTTGCTTAGAATCTATTGTGAAAGGTGTGGAAACGCTAAAATGAGTTGTTGAAGGCTTACTACTCGTTTGCAACACTCGCTTTCCACGCCTTTCCTTTCTGCCTTTGCAAGCTTGTTCACTTGCTTAGTGAAGCAGTATAGAAATCATTTACCTTAAAAGCCCATATATTGTTGAACACACAGATTGATGTTAAAATCTGGCTCAGAGACTACGAAAGAAACTGAATGTGCAAATTGTTATGCGTGCATCTTTTCCACAGCAATACCTTTCAGTTTAGCTTGCTACGATGGTATTAACTACTGTTTGTACATGCAACATGCGAGCCCAAAGGGTTCTTTATTTAAACATAATAGAAAGCTTGAACTGACCGTCAATGTTTGATGGCTTGAAAGAAGTCACTCATGGTGACTGTTTTCATTTCTTACTAGGAAATGGCAGCCGATGACATGGATGACCCTGAAGCATACATGGTCCAGTATGCAGAGCTCTACCGGAGCCTCGGCGTTGACCCTAGGCGCCCAGGAGGTGCGACAGTTTGTATTCTGCTTTCTAGCGTTAAAGGGACGCAAACATGGGAACTTGGCACCGTTTTCTTTGTTTCATCATGTGAAAGGCCCTCAAAGGCCTAGGAAATGAGCTGGTAAGCTCATTTTCTAAGCACTCTGAAAACATAATTAAGGCATGTGTTTAAAAGCTAGTTTCTATCCTACTCTATTCTTATGTCGCAACACTCTACCAGCTTTTCAACGCATGCATGTGCAAGATGTCATGAGATCTTTCCACAAGCGTGCGACTTTGTGTCTTCATTGGTTATGCACAAGTGGCCATTTTGTAATTTTTTCATACCTGATGCCGTCGGAGCTAGCCATACCTCTGTGTGAATTCATCAGAATTTGTACTGTACCTCGACAACATGCTAGCATCCATGTCAGTATGTCAGCCATGCTAATATTGCCTTTGAAATCAAAATAAAATAACTATCAGCATTTAATGAACCTCACGCTTGCTTGGAGTCATCCGTGTATACATGAGATGTTAATGGCAGAGTAACCTCGACTTTGAAAAGTTGTAAGTATCACTTTAAGACACACAGTCACAGTTTTGTTAGCCATGACGTGAACTGACCTTGTTGACATTGTACCAGTTTGTATGTGCCTCAGCAGTTGCTATTCTCAAACGTTTGGGTATCAAGATTTCAGAAACATTAAAGTTACCATAAACTTGCATCTTGTGGCAATAACCCATCTTAGCTTTGTTACAAAGGCCAAGACCATTGAAAAAGAATTTGGTGCATTTTCAATCATATTGAGATAATGATGTTTTCGAAGAGTATTAACTGTCCGGTGAAGGCCAGGAGGGCTCATTTTGGTGAGAAACTCATCAATAATTTTAAATAAGCAATAAACAATGAGTCAAAACCAGAACGATTGGGCAGGCTGTAAAAGTAGCACCCGTGCTTTTTCTATCGCACAAAAAGCAAGCTGGTTGTGTCATCCAAAATGGAATCAAGCTGTGCCAGCTCATCTGAACTTACCAGCCACGAGTTCAGCTATGATTGTAGCTTTTGTCTGAGTGTGGAAACATCACCTTTTGATTTACAGCAACTGGTGCATGAAGCTACTGAAGTGCCCCGCATCTATCTTCTCGTTGATCAATATTGTGCGTGTTTAATGTAGGACCGATGTCAACAATGACTAACACGCTGTACGGAGCTGACAAAATCTTACAACTTTGCTCATGTAGCCATCGCATCATAGAAGAAAGCACACGCTGTATCCGTCTGCTGGGCTAGGCAAGTTTGGAAAAAAGTAGGCACGTTATGCCACACACACCAGGTGGCCTGCGTTATCAACTGTGGTTGCGGAATTGGCTACCAACTTTAAAATTTGTTTTCTAAAAAACTAAATGACATATGGTTGCATAATTTTGCACACATCATCAAGGTACCAAACAAAACACATGATGATTCTTTTATTAAAATTGGTAAATATAAAAAAATCGCCAGCGTTCTTTTTTAAACACCATTGACTCAAAGCCATTACAATATGTCAGCAAGGCACCGATGTTATATAATTCTCGTTCATGTTGCCACACTCATCAAACAAGTTTTGGCCAGTTTAGTGAGTTTACTAAAACAAAGAAAAGTACAAGGAATGTGTTTTGTAGTAATTAAAATATAAGCAGGAAGAAATTATTGTGCACGAAATTGTAACTTGCTGCCAGCAATATTGAATCAATATTGCTTGTGAACTGTATCCTTAAGAGTACTGAACGCTGGGTGAGTTGGTAATTCTTAACTACAAAAACTGAACGAAAAAGAGACCAGAAACAGATCCAAAGTGTATTTCACTTTGTAGTGGAATTTTACATTTCTCCCATTAAAAAAAACACAAAAAAGTATAGATTATCACTTGTTTCCTCAGTTACCTTGGATTAAACTCTCTTACTTCATGTTATTTGTTAATAATAATAATTTTTGGGTTTTAGCATCCCAAAACCACCATATGATTAGGATAAATGCTAAATAATTAGTTAAGTAAGTTGCAAACTCAAAGTTTGCTGACGGTTTTCTACAGGGAGTCTCACTTCATACTTTTTCTTTAATGCCATCATTTGTCCAGGAACACGACTGAATGCTGTGCATATCAGGGGCGTTACCGACATGGCCACTGAAGAGGTTATGGAGTACTTCAAAGACTACGACCCAACATCCGTCGACTGGATAAATGACTATGCTTGTGAGTTCCACTTTACGTTTTTTTTTTTTCATTTTGATTTTTTTCTTTTGTTTCTATAGCTTTATATTTTTCTCCCATAGATGCAGATTTTTTTAGATGCGAAGCAGCTCTTTGACTAGCCTGTGTAACGCTGTCCCTCAATACATCCCCACTGCGCATGTTCGCGTCTCGTGCCGGCCCAGGAAGACACCCGCGAAACTCTCACACCCCTCCCCCTCTCTTACCTCGCAACACTGACGTAGGCAGCATTTGCTAGTAAAAGACCAACTGGTTGCGCTGCACAACCGTTCACTAGCCACCTCGTATATGTAGGCAGTGGATTGCGTATTAGGAATGAAGTCAAGGGCGTCTTTACTTGGCTTTCGCTTGATGAGCATCAACGTCGCCGCCAGTGCCCACTGCTTTGCATCTACACATAGTTCCAATTGGTGAGAAATAGTCCAATTTTTCTTTTTTTTTTTCCAAGTGGAAGATGGCAATTATTGATGATGATAATTGCACGATTATGATCACTGTTATTAATAATAATCTCATGTACATCCCATCGAGAATTTGTGGGAATGAAGGCTAGCCCGTTGCCATTTGGGCTTCGCCGCCTATTTCTGCCGTTTTCATGTCCTAACATGACTCTCCCCTCCTACGCATGCTTTCATGTTGGGGGAGCGGGAGTGACTTTAACCCCTCTCACCCGGTAGTAGATGGCGATTGTGGCGCCATGCGCGTAGTCTCTCTCGGAACGTTTCGCGCACGCACTTCCGGAGTCTGTTGGCTCATTTTGTTTGGGGCTCGTTCGGACTTTGTCAATGGTGCCTTGCGCCCATGGCAAACGCTTATCTTTCGAACGCTAGGCCAAAGAGTGGTGCGGTGTCCTATTGTGTGGTCGTACTACGCCGACCCGTACTTCTCGAAGCCAACACGAGCGCATTTTGCCCTTGCTTGAGCGACCGGGCCCTGTTGTCCCGGTGTAACCGTGAATCTCTTTTGCCCATGGAGATGTGCTTGCGGCACCCTGTGTAATACTTCTCATCCTTGGCATAGATAAGCCTATTTGCTTTCCGACGGCCCTTTTACAACAAGCTCTGTACTGCGTTTTTGGTGTTCCACAAGCAATAAAGTGTTTCGACTTGTTTTGAGAGCAATACTGTATATTTGCCACGCTGCGCCTGGCGACAGTTAATGCAACCCTGCGGCTCGCTAAGACCAAACCCACGTTAATGGCCGTACTCTTTTAAGATACGTGTACACTACACATTCTAACTACATATTAACATGAAAGTTGGAGCTTCGTGAGTTCATCATGTGCTGTTAGGTGCGCAGCTTTGCATACACAAGCTTCGAAGAGCGTGGGGCCAGGACACTTGCCCTGTATGTAGGCATGCCAAGGTTAATATTGAATGTACTGATAACTATGCATCTGCTTCAGTAATAGCCATATGAATGCTTATGGCATAAAGCAATGAATGAGTGAAAGTTTTCGTCTGTTAGCGGATAGTAGCATTTCAGTAAATAATGCAACTGCCTCACTGCCATGTCAAGCTTCGGGTGACTGATAATGATGGTCATCATCGTCATCCTTTACTCATAGTATACCCTTAAGGACCTTCAACAATGCAGTACATAAGGGGGCGTAAACAGTACTAAAGTTACATTTAACAGACAAAATGCTTATAACAACAAAGCTTATCATGCTTTTCACGTCGCATCGTACACCTGTACATCGTTTCAGGCAATGTGGTGTGGCTTCGGAACCAGGACGCAGCCCGTGCTCTGCAAGAGCTGAGCCGACCACTACTCGTTAAGCCCAAGAACAGGGAAGACCTCGATTCGCCTACTTTGGAAGCCAAGCCCCTACCAAGCTGCGTGTCCCCACTGAATCGACCCGAGCAGCCTACGACTGCGGCTGGAAGCATGATTCGCCAGGAGTCAGCTGACGGTGAGTGCCACACTTTGCTATAATTCTGAGAGAACTTAAACAGTATGAGCACACTGCGTGCATGTGGGAGCAGCAGTGGAGGCTAGGGCATCCTGTCAAGCTCATTCAAAATGATGGTGCAGATTGCTTTCTTGATCGCAGACATGTTCAAAAATTACTTTGAAGCGTGCCGATGGTGCAGAAAATGGAAGTAGACAGGTCAGTGCCATTGTGTCTTCGGTGCACTTGAAAGTAGTATTTTTTAAACATGGAAACCATCTTGTTGCAGACAAGTCATGCGTTAGTTCAAAGGGACCAACAGCTGATTTGTTTTTCGACCTAGTTTTTTTCGGCGTGACAAAGTTTACCCTTTGTAGTTTTCGTAGTTGAACAATAAGCACGTAGTCATTTCATAAGCTGTATTTTTTGATCTGAAAGGCTTTGAACACGGACGAGCCTTTTCATTCAGCAATGCTGAGAATTGGTAGCGATGCTGGTAGCCTTTCTGGCGACTTGTGCTTGCTGTCGGTGTTCTGCTTTTGCAGGAGTCCTTGTGACTATGCTTAACCATGTTTATTCCAAGCTTTACAACTATTCTTAAAAACAAAAAGTCATTACAATGTGATGATGTGGCTTTATACAGCTTCTCGTGATTGTACCGCGTTGCGTGCGCCTGCAACCAAGGTTGTTGCACCTGTGCGATGGCAGTAATGTTTTGTGCAGAAAAATTTTCCCTTTTTCTGGGAATCGCCTGTCATTTTGAGCCAGAGGAAAAAAGGGAATCTTCGTGATAGTGAAGGGAATTTCAGGAATGGTTAAATTGTCCTATGACGACCGATAATTAGCGGTCGCAGTGCGCCTTCACCTGCTGTAATCGGTTCTGGTGCATGCACTACCCAAGCATAGCCTTTGAGATTTATTTTTGATATTTATGTGGAGTGACGTCTAGTTCACTTTTGGTGTTAGAATTGAAGCCCACAATGTGCAGTGTACTAACAGTTTATGAATTAATAAAGTCATGCTTTTGTTGTGCGGCATTTGAGGGGCTAGCCATGATTTCAGAAGTCGCCAGTACGTGATACACATGTAATTATAGTGTGTGTCTGCGTGGAAGGGGGCAGAAGTTAGTACTGTTGTGTGGGAAAATAGGCTGAATAGTTTGTCAACGTTTGCAGGGAATAATCCCCGAAATGGGGAATTTTCATGTCTCTGAATGGGAATTCTTCGGCGTAGCACTGAACATGGCTGTGTGGTGGATGGCTTGTCCCGTCGTCGTTATTCTCTCGACACACGAGCCAAGCCAAGTAAACGAAAACGTCACTGCAAATATGTGCAGCTGTGCCTACTAGCAGTACATGCCATTTCTGAAACAAATTACAAATAGAAAAACCTGGTTGCTTCAAGATCATAGCAACCCGAAAACTGTGTGCACAACTTCATGAGCACGCAGATAAGTTACTCAAGACGCACTGACGAGCATGGAATAATTACGTCCTTCGAAGGCAGCGCCATTTTAATGCGTACTACTGACACAGGCCTATATGCACATTTTTATGGAGTAATATCTTCTATTATAAAGATGCAGGCGATATCTCAATACCAATAGGGAAATTGTTGACCGCGTGCACCGCGTTCACATGACAGGACACATTGGATAATTGAAGTTTCTGCCACCAGTTGGTACCACATGCTATTTTCGCAATTTTCAATGAATAAATGAAAACATAACTCCACTTTTTACGAGAAAAACAGGGTTGGTTTGAGTCACTATGAGGCACAATGTTTTCATCTGTACAGTCATCTCATCCCATGCTCTGGGTATTTGTTGGTCCCTTTAATTAAATTAGGGCATACAGGTTTGACTTTTTGGACATTTATGATAAAAAAAGGAGTGCTATAACTGCATTAGTGCTTACTTCTGTTGGTTTTGTTAATTAAAGGATGAGCAAAATACATGCAGTAGTGTTTCACATTTCATGATTCTTGCTTGTGCCAAATCAATTGCATTTGCAGTTCCAACACTTGTAGCACCTGCATCTCCTATTTGTGTCCCATCTCATATGTTTTGGTTAAAAAAAATTTTAAAAGTACATTATTGAACCCGTTCTCTCTCTCTTCATTTAATAATATTACTCGACAAAAAGAGTACTTCAAGACGAAAAGCCTGCTTAAAAGTAATTTTCACCTATTTCTCTCCGGTCTGCATCATCCATTCTCGCTATGTGAATACAAGTCTACTTAAACCATCAAGCATTTGATTTTCTGCTGCTCGAAATTCACTGCTAATACTTTCTCCCCGACTTTGGCAATTTAGTCCAGAAAAGCACTTTGCCTCTTCTTTGGAGTTCTGTTTTTTTTTAATGAGCTTAGTTTGGGGAGCTAACACTTGCCTGAATGGGCATTCAATTACAGCAGGTGGAGTGGGTGATGGATGCGAGGAAGTTGTGGTCATGTCAGACGACGAATTTGGGGACGACGCGGGACCGTCTGTACCACCGGCCACCAAAAACACTGTGGAAGATCGCGAGGAGCTGGACATCTCCGAAGTTGGGGTCCCGGTGCCACCTGGAGAGTGGCGCCGAGCCATCAGGCCACACCCTAAGGCCAAGATCTTACTCCTGCGCTTTTCAAACAAGTGTAAGTACCGCCATCTTGCCCTTTTTTTGCTTCCCACGTTTTACGCATCTAAATGTCGCCTATCGAAACATCAGATAAGAGGCCTTTTTTACTTGCACAAAAAGCGTTTCCGGTATTGCAGCCCCTACACAAAATCTTGCAACAAAGGTTTCTGCAAAGTTGTAAGTGGTTGCATTATTTTGCATAACGACATTAATCGCAGAATGAGGATTCATGTAGTAGCTATAAATCTGCGTCGTTTAAAAGACATTCTTTTTGTAAAATACCCTTGAGGCACGCATTACTTGAATGTGTATGAATGAAAGAAAAGGAATTGATCACGATGTCATGTTTTTGTTGGCTGTAATGATATGAAAGGCAACTGATGACGAAGTTATCGGGGCTACTAGTAGCACTGTCTAACACTCCCAGCGTCATACATGCTCGAAAATATCGAATAAAGTAAAGAGGGTTGTGGGTACTACCGTAGCACATCTTGTAGTGCACTGCTCGCATAATGCTGAGGTTGTTAGTTCACTCTCTGCCAGCAGCAAGGGGTCTCTTCAGTTCAGAATTGCAGATAATGGCCCCACGCTTTCCTTGGCTTCATATGCTTAAGGGGGGACGCGGGTGTTACAATGGTGAAAAAATGCGAAATTTGAGAAAATGCGATATTTGAAATTTTTAGACCTATAAGCACGTGTCCTCAAATTGTGAACGCTGAATTCGATCAGTAAATGGATTGAAATTGATTATGAAGTCGCCACGGGAGCCGCAAAACAACCCACGGCAGGTCTAATTCGTTCAAACTTCTCGCGCGCGCCGCCGGCGAGGCAGTCGGCCGATCGCCGCCATCTTGGGCTTGTTTTGAAGCTGATTCCTTTGTGCGCATTTTGCCACCCTTCAAAATGGCGTCGCTTTAACAGAACGGCTGCCCTCGCCACTTTTTCAGAGCCCCCTTCCGGGCTGCTGATTGGCCGGAGCGCGTGCGCACCAGGCGAGCCCCCTGTTCCTGGCTTCCCATTGGCTGATGCGGCTAAAGTTGCCCGCGCTTTTTTTTTTTATATTGTTCGTCGGCCGTTGGTTCTCGTGCGCGCACGTTGTTCGTCTGCTTCCCGCACGTGCCTGCTTGTGCTACGCGACCGACGCACCGACTTTCCGTCTTTTGCCGGCATGATTGGAGACGCTCGTCTTAAGAAGAAGACGCACAAAGCGTACGGCAAGAAACGGAGGCGCCCGTGGAACGCCCGCCAGAAGAAAACAGCCGACAACGTGCAGCCGATTTCGCTCGATGCTGCCGAAGCGGCGCATTCCGACGACGGCGCCCAGCCGCAACCGCTTGTGTCCGAAGCGGTGCACTCTCCTGTGCCTTGCAGCAGCACCTCGTCGGATTGTGTCGTCGTCGGATCGTCATCTTGCACTTCCAGCAGCATCCTAGACCGCATTGACACGGCGTTTTATTCGGCGGACAAGTTTGCTGAGTGCACGAGAAATGCAGCGGGCTTGAAGGCATCACTCGCATCGCAGTGCGCGACGGAACGTAAGTTCGAGTTACTAGATATTGATCTGGAGGATGGTGGCAAAGAAAACGGGACAGAATTTGTTATTGTTGATCTGGCGGCGATACGCTCTTTATTTGGACTTGTCGCGTGCCCAGAATGCAGTGAAAGAAGCGTCACTTTTTTGAAAGGCCAAGAAAGAGTACGGGCTGTGTTCGAAGCTCATAGTCACGTGCGGCAGTTGTGACTTTCGCGAAGAGTGTTTTTCGTCCCCACGTATAGCCGACGAGACCGACGCCGAAATAAAGCCGTTCGAAGTTAATATGCGTGCCATGAAGGCCATCAACAGTATCGGCAAGGGGGCAACGGCTCTGTCGGACTTCTTCACCGGGATGAATATTTCGCATTGAGGGCTTGACCACGAGAGTTACCAAGGCCACATGAATATAATGAAAGAAGCCCGCTGTGCGACTGCTGCCGAATGCGAAGCGGCGAGCGTCGCTCGCATCAAGGAGCTCTATGCGGAGTTCGGCAATGCGCCCGGAAACGTCGACGTCGTTTATGACGGCACCTGGCTTACGCGTGGACATAGCTCGCATACCGTAATTACTCGAATCTAACGCGCATCTTTTTTCCGGTTAAGCGAGTTCATAAATCGCATGTGCGTTAGAATCGAGTATGAACAAAAAAAATTACGGTCAATCTATTGCCATCAGCAAATAAAAAATGGCCGCCCCCTACGTGCGTCGGCACGCGCGTCGGCCATTTCTGCCTATAGGTTTCCCATGTGCGGCACTTCGTACGTGTGCTGAGGAGTTCGTCATCTAGTAGTGCATTAGCATCAATGGCGTGGAAGGGCCGACTCCAAAAACTCGAGTGCACCACGATGCCGCTTTTAAAAGAAAAGTCATCGCGTGTGCAGAAACGGACGGAAATCGGGCCGCATCGCGGTCGTTCGGAGTTCCCGAAATGTGCTTGCGGGACCGGCGGAAACAAAAGCAGAAGATTGTTGACAGCAAAGCTTCACACAAAGGCTTCAGTGGGCCACAGCAGGGTCGGTTTCCGCAAATTAAAAAGCTGCTCGGCGAGTATGTGCTTGAGCAGCGAGTGGCACAGCGGCCCGTGACGACAGAACTGCTGCAAGTGCGGGCTATGCAATTAGTCTTAGAAAAAGGTCTAATGCGGAGCCAGTTTAAAGCGAGCAGGTGCTGGCCAACTAACTTTATGAAGAAGAAAGGCTTTTCCCTCCGAAGGGGACCGTGCATATGCGAAAAGTTTTGCGGAAGAGTACGATGAAAAGCTTCACAGTTTTCAGAGGTTCGTCCTAAACTTGCGGCGCAACAACGGCTACCTGCTTGGGCAAATCGGGAATGCCGATCAGACGCCTCTTTACTTCGACATGCTTGGCACCACAACCGTCGAGAAGAAGGGGGCGAAGCAAGTTCGCGTGCTGGCATCGGTCCACGGTAAGACTACAGTGACGGCAATGCTCTGTTACACGTCAGATGGGCACTAGCTTCACCCGTACCTCATATTTAAATGGAAGACGCTCCCGAAAGGAGTCGTTTTTTCGAGTAGTGTGATCGTGCAGGCCAGCGAGAAAAATGGGTGCGCGTTGCAATCGATGTCTTACGTTCTTTTTTTTTTTTTTTTGCGGTGGAAATCGGATGCGCGTTACATTTGAGGGCGCGGTAGAATCGAGTAAATACGGTATATGTGTTGGCTGCATTGTTGAGATGTGTAGTGGCCTCGTGATATCGTGACCATATCGTGCTATCGAACTTTTGCCTGGCTTGCACCACAGGACCCAAGGAAGGAGAAGTAGGACATTCTGCCTGGCTCATTCATCATGCCCCTCTGTGCCAGAAGAATGTTGATTGTAATGCTGGTGAGATAAAAGTGGAGGCAGCACTACGCTTGTTTGAGCGGTCACTTGAAAAGCACAAGCTTCGTTATACGACAATGCTGTTGAACGGCGACAGCAGGACATTCCATGCACTCACAGAAAAAGAGGTGTACGGTTTCATAAAGGTGGTCAAAAAGGACTGCATAAATCATGTACACAAGCGTATGGGAGCTGCCTTACGTACCCTTGTAGAGAAAAAAAAGCTCAAGGTGGCTCACTTGGTGGAAAGGGCAGGCTTACGCAACAAAAGATAAAGAAGATCACTGATTGATTTGTGGGGTTTAACGTCCCAAAACCACGATATGATTATGAGAGACGCCGTAGTGGAGGGCTCCGGAAATTTCGACCACCTGGGGTTCTTTAACGTGCACCCAAATCTGAGCACACGGGCCTACAACATTTCCGCCTCCATCGGAAATGCAGCCGCCGCAGCCGGGATTCGAACCCGCGCCCTGCGGGTCAGCAGCCGAGTACCTTAGCCACTAGACCTACGCGGCGGGGCTAAAGAAGATCACCTCATACTATGGCTACGCATTGAGAAGACACAGGAACGATGTTCCAGGTATGCAGAAGGCTGTTCTAGCAACTTTGAACAATATGTCTTCAACTGACGAGGCACCAAAGCATGACCTTTGCCCTGAAGGCCCTGAATCCTGGTGCAAATTTCAGAGAGCTCTTGCAAAAAATGAGAAGCCGCCACCACACAAGGACAGCCTGCCTGATTTCGTAACTGAGGCATTGGAGCTTGTGTTTAGGCGGCTGAGCGACAATGCCCTCTTGGAAAGGTGCTGCGATGGGATCAACCAGAACCCAAGTGAGAGCCTGCACGCTTTAATTTGGCAGCAGGCCCCCAAAACTCAGCATGCATCCTTGCGGAGCATTGAAAGGGCAGTTGCCGAAGCCATCAGCCGCTTCAACCAAGGCACAACCAAGAGCAACGTGGAAATTTGCGAGAAGCTGGACTACAGCGCTGGCAATAACTTGGTGCGTCGCAGCCTTGAGACGGACAAGGGCAGGCTGCAAAAATCGCGATGAGAGCATCTCGACAGCAGTTCAATAAAGGAAAGACTTTCAAAGCGTCACAAGCCAGCAGGGGACTCTGCTTACAGCCCCTGGTCTGCTGTAAACAGTCATGATGGCAAATAGTGAGAATTCTTGCAAAAATAAATATTCTTGGTTTTAGACCTAAACATTGTGTAAATCTATTGTCTATCCAAGGACAACATTATTTCATGATTTTTTTTGTGTTCCTTTCACTTGCAAGGCACTGGAACGACCACAAAGTAAAAAAATAATAATTCTCATGCTGAGTCGATGACTATTTTATAGTTCTAGAACAAGCTGTGAGCAGTATTCTGGGTGGGTACAGTGAAATTTAGCATGGCCATTTATCTTATAATATAGAGCTACAGAATGATGTCATTAATATCGCTGTAGCTTCACTTTAGCAAAAGTTAAAGTTGCTAGAAACTTCAAACGTGTTTTTCTCAGTTCGATGTTTTTGCACATTGCATTCGGCCTTACGGGGGTTTTTCCTATGTTAAACTTGAGTGAATGCGACAAAGTTGGTATCATTTTATTCGTCTTGACATGATCTAGGGGGTGATGCTATTTCTATTTCTCTAGCATCACTTCAAAAATAACCATTGAAGATTTTAGTGAGAGAAATTTATTGTAATATAGTGACCATAAGTGTTCGTTTTCTTGTTTATAAAATGCCTTCAAATGGATAAAAATAGCATCGCCCCCTACAGAAAGTCTCCAGCATTGGGATTATGCATTCACTTTTTGGATTTAGCAAGAATAAATTGTCAAGAAGTACCGTAAGAAGTACGCAATTAATTACGATTCAGACCTTCATATTTTCTAAACCACTTGAAATATTTTCTAAAGCACTTGAAATATTAAGACACAAATTAGAGATTTGAAATCAGCATGAAAAACTAGCCTAGGTAGTGAAGTTTGGTTAAGATTGAGCAAAAAATTCAAAAAAAAATTTTAGAACTCACGTTCCCCCTTAAGCAGAGGTGGGGGTTCAAATAATGGTGTCTTGGGTCTGAAGTTAGGGCAACACTTTGGTTGCACCAAAGGACGTACATAAATACGATATGGCTTCTCCATTGCCTCATTTTCGATAAGATAGCTGTGAAACACCACCACACCAACACTTCATTGATTTAGCCAAAAGAAACAATTTCATGTTGCTATCTCATAAGAATATGCTTAGGAATCCTTTCCAACTTTATTTCTGCGATTCAACTTCGAAGTACTCGAAGAATGTTTGAATTCACTCTGCACTTAAAGTTATGCTATTCGCACAGCTCTAGTTGACATTGCTATGTACGGCGGCTGTTCGCCAGATTTTTGAAGACGTTGTGCCTTGAGCAGTGCCTCTGATGGGGCCAGAAAGTCGAGGGTTCGTGGTGAAATAATGACACCATCTAGCAACAGGAAGAAATTATTTTTGTCATTATTTTTCTTGTGTGTACTTTGTCCGCCTCGGTGGATCAGTGGTGAGGGCGCTCGGCTACTGACCCAAAGGTCGTGAGTTCGATCCCGACCGCGGCAGCCGCATTTCGATAAAAGCGAAATGGCAGAGACCTGTGTGCTGTGCACGTTAAAGAACACCAGGTGGTCAAAATTTCAGGAGCGCTCCTCTACGGCGTCTTTCATAATCATATCGTGGTTTGGGGGCATAAAACCCCACATATTAATTATTATTAATTTTGTGTGCACTTTATTATCATATATATTAGAAGTGGTATCAGTACCTACCTTGCTTAAAACCTTTCCATATACAGATGACAAGAAGATGCCTGGAGCGGAAAAGCACAGCGAGTACTACAAGAAGTATGGAAACCCGAATTATGGAGGTACGTATAGGGCATGTAGTTAACTCTGTGGCCTCTTTATTTACTGTAGACACATCAACAGTAACTTGTAAATTGTTTCATAGGAATGACTGGTCTCATCAGCAACTCCAGGAAGCGCAGGATGCGGGAGGCAAAAAGCGCTTCGTTCGCCTTGGGCAGTGCCAGGTCTATGGATACTGGAGGTGCGTGTGTTTCTCTTAGTTTCAGAGCATCAGCTTTATGATTCACTTTTTCCCCTCGGTGTGTCAGTACAGATATTCACATGCCACACCCTGAATTACGTTTCCTGCAGAATTTTCATATGCTGGTTTAGCGGTGGTGCGTTTGTCGCATGTGAAAAAAAAAAAAACTTTTTTTCTTCTTTCTAATAGTCTGAGTAGTAGCGCGTAATAGCGCCCCGCCACAGTGGTCTAGTGGCTATGGTATTCGGCTGCCGACCCGCAGGTCACGGAATCAAATCCCAAAGGTGGTGGCTGCATTCTCGATGGAGGCACAAATGCTGTAGGCCCTTGTGGTCAGAATTGAGTGCATGCTAAAGAACCCAGGTGTTCGAAATTCCTTTAGCCCTCCACTACGACGTCTTTCATAATCATATGGTGGTTCTTTGACGTTAAACCTCACATATCAATCATCAATCAGTAACGCATAACAGCTCAACTTTGCAATGGATTCTGTGGCGTGTGTATCAGAATAACGCACGTGGCTTACCATTCACGCGTAAGTCGCTTCTGAAATCGCACTAGGCAGTTCTACTTTTAGTGGCCTCAATACAGTAACAATTCATTGCGCTATGCTTCAGGCGTAGCTATGCACTAAACAGTAGTCCACAGTAACTGCCAACTGCAAATTTACGTATCTCGGGCTATCTGATTGGTTATCACTGCAGGGGCTTGGCTGTATGAAGCAGCTATACTACAGCAAAGTCTCTGTAATGTCACTAGTTAATTTGGAAAATCAGATTATTTGAATGCGTTATTCGGTGCCGACTGGCATTAGCACTGTTTATCGGCATCGAACTCACATTAATTTGGTCATATTTGGCTGCAACCTGTTTAGTTTGGACAATCCTCAGTGTGCACTGAGCATCTATTATCACAAATGTGCGATGCAGAAGCGTCCAAATTGCGTCCGCATGCTTCCACCAAAATCTTGCTACATTGCGATGGGCGAACGATCAGTTGCAGATCATTTTCACTGTCAAAAAAAAGAAATATATTGTCATGTGCGCTTGGTGGTATTGCTGGTGGAGGTTATTAAGGGAAAGGTACAGGGCATGTTTGAGGCTAATCAAACATGTGAATATCGCGCTGTTGTCACATTGTGAACAAAAGCATGGGATGGCAAAACTTGCAGATTTTCAGTTGGTCTGGTGGAAAATGAGCGCAGCATTTACGTATTCGTCACGAAAAGGAAAGTGTATTGATTCTACAGACATTCGTTTATTTTTTTCCTGATACTTTCAATAACTTGGTATTCAGTTAATTGGGACATTTTTCCAGTTTCATGAAATGGGGATTAACGAACATTCACCGTAACACATTCCAGATGACAGTGACAGAGATCGTTCGCTGTTGGGTGCCAGGCAGCGTGCAGTGAAACGGATGCGCATGAGGATGTACGCCGACGAAGAGGAAGAGAAGCAACGACGTGGGAAAAGGTCAGCAATCATGTATTCATTCACTTCAAATACTTCAGATCTCGGATACTGAAACTTAAATATAAAGATCACATGACGTTGCGTGTTACGAGATACTGATAGTATTCGTACAAGCCCATGTTATGACACATAACTCGATCTATCGGTGAACAAATATGGGCTCTGCTACCTTTAGTGTTTTGTTAGTTGGATTTTAGTTGGTTTTTAGTTGAATTAGTTGGGCTTTTGGAAAAACAAAGTGCAACAATTAGAGTTTACATATGCTTGTTTATCCAGTAATCTGTTACAACTGCAAATAACTGTGTTTCGCGCTGTTATACTAAGTGCAGATTTATTTGCTTGACAATTTGTGTTCTTTATGGGTAGTTCTTCATTTGAGCTTAGACGAGGGGCCAGATATGCAATACAGTTTACGCTGCATCTCACACATCAGGTAAACCACTTATCAATGTTTAAAACAAGTAGGACATTTAAGGGCTCGTTTTTCTATGTCAGACACGATATTAATGAAAACCAACAAACAACACTGCTAAGGAAAGTACCTATAGGGGATTTTGTTAGTACTAAATGCAATATAAATGTGAATAAAGAAAGGTGGACAAAAAAAAAACTTGTCGTGGGCAAGGCAAGTTATCCCTGCCCACGGTAAGTTGTCTTTTCGTCCACTTTTCTTTCTTCACATTTACATTACATTCAGTACTAAGAAAATCCCCTATACTTTTCTTGGCAGGGTTGTTTGTTGGCTTTCATTGTCACCATACTATTAATGTCTTGTGTCTTAGCCACAAAACGTGTTTACGTGAAGTAATGTTACGCAAAGCGTATTTTAGCAGTTGCGAGTTTTTGGCAAGAATGATCATTGTGATGAAGTGGCCAGGCAGAAAACTAGCATAGGAGCTCAAGTAGAGTGGGTCCCTCTATATTTATTGTCCATCACAATGTGGTATGCCAGCGAACTTGAATACTATTAAGTGTGAGTGCAAATTGAATATTTCTAGAATGTTTTTCAAATACTTTGAAGCAATATTGCAGAAGAAAAAGTTGGAGAGGATTCCTAATATATTCTCATGAGATAGCAACGTGGATGTATTTCTTTTCGCTAGTTTGATGAAGTGGGGGCGGGGTGGTGTTGGATAGTTCCTTTATCAACAATGATGCAATGCACAAGCCGAATTGTATTTGTGTACGTGATTTGGTGTGACGCTTTACACATGAACAGCAAAGATGCCTCGGCCTCTCCTCCACTTTCAACTTGTGTGAAAGCCAAACTGGTGTAGTGGACAAGGGTGTCTTCCTTGGGGGTCCGGAGTTCCCGAATCTCCCTCATAGTTGTCAATACAGTCGAGCCCGCTTATAACAAACCTGAGCGTGACGCGGCATCCGTTCGCTGTATCCCGAAGTTTGTAGTAAATGAAACACGGCTTTTAAAAAAAGTTGCGAGTGAAAACACAAACTTTTTTTGCCCCAAAAGGTCTGCGATGCACGTGTTTCGAAGAACAGAAGCGATAAAGGCGGTCTCGAGTTCATTAAAAACGGCAGAGTGCTCGTTCGCCAAGGCCTGTGGCATAAGCTGCATGAGGCACTGGCTCGAAAGTTTCGTCGTTCTCGCAATCCGATTCCTCCAAATCGCTCTCGCCACGTACTTCATTCACAATGCCCCAATCCGTGCACGGTTCCGCATTGTCGGCATCATCATCGGCCGTAATTAAACCATCGCAACAGATGTCCCACCCGCTCTCCTAGGTCAGAGTCGACGACGCGCGAGCACAAATCGCCGCCGAAGTTCGGAAGCTTCAGGCTCAGCATTGGGCCCGACGTCGACAAAGTCGGCCTCGCGAAAATAGTTTCACGGGCATGTAGTCGTCACCGCCGCCCACAAAATATTCACCATCTCCACAGCTGAATACAAGGATTCCCGAAACGTCAAGTTGGCTTCCAGGTGGTCAACAGCTACGAGCAAGCGCTCCGCAACGCGACACCTAATGCGCAAATTACGCTCAAGCCAAGCGGTCACACTTTCGACGTTTTGTTGAGCAGCACAAAAAAGCGTGCTAGTCCTCCGGTCGACCATCATGACCGCACACGCACACCGAGAGCGAGCAAGACGCCCACACATGCCAGAGCGGGCGGAACAGCTCTAGGCCTGTTTCCAGTGAGAAAAACGAAACTAATTCAAGCCAGCATGGCGGGCGTTGCGAAGCGGCAGAGATGGGCGAAGGGGTTATGATCAAGAGAGCTGAGCAGACTTGCGAGAGAAGGGCAAGGAGTTGCGATAAAGAGAGGGCAGGATGTGACGGGAGGGCGACCTTGAAAACCAAAACACACGGGAAGGAGGCAGGTTGCTTGAAAGGTTTGCGAAACTCGCACGTAGAAACACTTGGAAAGAGTGCAAAGTTGAAAGAGTGCGAGTGAGTCGAAATTGGCTTCCCGGGAAGTCGGCAGACCGCTGACTCCGTTCGCTGTAACCGATCAACAGTGCTCGGAGACGTTCGTTGTAAGTGCGATTTTGTGCCATTGAACCAATGTATATTTTCTTGGTCACGTGGATATTGTTCGTTTTAAGCGAAAGTTTGTTTTAAGTGGGGCCGTTATATGTGGGCTCGACTGTATATCCGAAACTTGGGATGCTCAAAATCTTCGGCATCCGATTTTTAGGATTTCCTTCCAAAATTTCAGGTCCAAAAACAGCATTGATTGAGCCCCACCTCTGTTGCATCATCTTCTTGTTGGAACCAGCGTTTTCAAGAGTCAATAAATTTGCGTCCGTACTATAGCCTGAAAGGCAGCTTTGCCGCAATACGAGAAGGTGATGAAAAGAAGTATATTGAAAATCTGAAGGGGTCGCTTTTAATTATACGTTGACTGTATTTGTCTTTGGGAAGTTAGAATAGTAAAATAAAATCCAGTGTGAATCAAATTGAATAAAACACTATTGAATAAATATTTGAAACTTTGTGTATTCGCACAGACCTAATATTTAGACATTGCTTTCATCATATTCCTCTCACTGAACTGCATGCCAATGTGTTTTGTAATTTGGTGAAATTCTTTTTCCATATAAACTATGTGTCGGTGTGCTTGCCTGTTGTATTGTCGCCCCTCTTCTCTCCTCCGGAATATGTGAAGATACTGTATGCAAACAGGTTTAGCTTACAACCCTTCAAAGGCACTTCATCTCATTTGCTTAAAGGGGCCCTGCAACACTTTTTCGAGTAACCATGGAATTAATTCACTAAATGTGCTTATTGCCTCATGAATCTGTCGTTGCAAAAACTTTTAGAATTTGTCCAGTACAAGCATTTGTACAAACATTTTTCGCACACTGTAATCACATTTTCTCCTCCCGTTCCGACGAAAGCACTGGAAGCTAATTAGGGAAAGATGGCACGAGCAAAGAAAATACATTACACATACCTTGTGACCTTGAGCACTTTTTTTTCTTAGAATACGTAACTTTTTTATGCGATCACACGCGCGCGGGTGGACAAGTTGCGGCTTTTCCCAGAAGTCCGTGTAACGACCGAGCGTGCCATGTTCAATTCGGCCAATAGCTGATAGTACGGCTCTGACGAGTGGTTTTTTTAGCTTCTCTCATTATTTGTTAAAAGACGAGAAAGCAATTTTTTTGCCGACTTCGAGAATTTATTGCGAATTCCAAGCCGTATGCAGCGCTATAATATTTGGCTTGCGTGTTCTCAAAAGACTCTACTACCGATTGGCAGCGTTTTCTGACCATGCTCAAAAAGTGTTAACGGGCCCCTTTAACGACTTTGTCCAATACCTCGTAATTGTCTATTTGAGTGGGGTACAGGATGAATCAATGTTGGCATAATTCTTGTTGTATTTCCACTGGAACAGGCCTGGGGCCCTGGGCACACCGACTCCCCCAACGCCGTGGTCTACGCCCGGAAACTCGCCTACGTCAGACGAAGAGACCTTTAGCCGCTCCCTCAGCATCAGCGTCAGTGGCAGCAGCGTCTGGGACCGCCTGTCTGGTGGGCGAGCCAACCTGTTTCGAAGACAGGAACAGGAAGACATCGACGAGTATGGAGACGATGAACAAGACCGATTCCCAACTCCCAGACGATCGCGCTACGTTGACCTGGACGACCCGAGCTTGCGGGATGACTACGACCCTGCCGACGACAGCATTGGTGGCGGCGGCTACGGCGATGATTTTGGTTTCGAGGACAGGGCGGGATCAAGAAGGGGGTTAGGACTCGGCCGGAGAGACGATGACGAAGGTGACGAGGAGGACGCTCGCAGGCTTCTATCGACCGTTCGAATGGCCGGCACAGATCTGCGGTCCAAGCTTGAGAAGCTGAGGCAGAACAGGTCGGCGCCAGAACGTATGAACGCGCTGCGAATTTCTGTGTCAAATGAGGCACCTTGATTTGTAGCGTACGTGGCCATGCGGTGGATTCCTTCGGTGGTTTAGACACTGTGGGTGGGTTGTTTGTGTCTCGAATGGGGGGTGTGATAAGGACCTGCTTCCCGGAAGCAGCATCTAAAATATCACAATTGTTGCTCCTTGAGCAGCAATAAAATGAAAGCAGCATGTTGCTGAAAGCATTTCTGCGTTACATTATTTCTTGAAAATGCCGGTGGGCAGGCATGAAGCGCGACAAAACATCGGTGACATAGAGGGGCACGTTCTTCATTTCACTTCAATCGCTCGCAATTTCGAGGCTCGCGTCGGTTGCACGGATTCTACTGTTTCATGGGCATCTGCAACAGTGAAACCTCTTTTTCAGACTAGGCACTCGCTCTTAGGCACACATAGGGCCGCTAGTCAGAAGGTTAAATACTGTCATGGCAGATATGTACCAATTATTTGCAAACAACTGCCAAATTAGAGACTGGTGATAAAGTCAGCATGTGCTCCCAACACATGTGATATCTTGGTGGTCATTGTATTTTTTCTTATTTGCAATTGTCTTTGTTGTTTATTAAACCTATATGAGTTAGCCCCCTATATTTAGAAAGAAAGAAGACATTGAGCTTATGGCTTACACATAAAAGAACAATACACATCATTAAAGGCTGCATTGAAATATTGGGGACAATATTTGCAATTTATAAACAAGGAAACATCAAAAGGAATTGAGCTGTGTAAAATTTCAGATTTGTGTCTAGGAGAGTGTGTTCCAAATGCAAGTTTGGCTAATTGACGTGTTGCAGCCTTGTTCCAATGTTTTTGCACCCACATTGTCATGCTTGCTTTGCTTGTCAGTTGAATATTCAACTTTTTTTGTTGTTATTTACATCAAGCAATTTCAAATGAACCAAGACTGCCAAAACTTATTTTACATTTGTTTTAAAGCAGTAGTATGTTTAAATGATGAAGGCATACCTGCTTGTAGCATGTTTTCGTTTTGCCACAACACTATGAGATAGCGTGGCTGACAAGGTTATCGCACAAAATTTTGTCTTCAACGGTTATTGCATTATAGTTCCAATACGGCTTCACCTAGGCTTGCAGCACGCATCATCATCCGTATATAAATACCCTCTCATAAGGCATCATACTGAGTAAAAGTGTCACGCGTGCTGTCGAAAGCAACTATACGTTTTGCATGCCTGGGCGCATCTCTTCCCTCACAGTTTGTTTTTGTCACTGTTAAACATTTTATGTTTACTATGAAAATAAAGAAGCTCATTATGGTGGCAGTCTATGCTGTGTCCCTGTTTCGCATGATGCCGAGCCTCATGTTTTGAGCCTCCCATTGCACATCTATCTGTGCCGATATAATGTACGTTTATGATTGCCACCTTTTTTTTCTTTTTAAGAAAAAGAAACAAAATGAACAGCACTCAAAAGGACCGGAAGGTAAACCTCTTATATGCAAAAATATAAACATTAAAAAAATCCACCATACCAAATACAAGCATTCCACACGTGAATTTTTTTAAAGGTTCATATGAAAACTAGTGCACACGTAAATATTCGTGCTATTGCGAATAAGTTACATGAGAAGCATATCAACGTAATTGCAACACTGTTTGTGCTTGGAAACTAGCACAACGCAGATATCTGGCCTCGTTGGTATGACAAGCATTAAGTGCAGGACATACATATCACAGGACACTGCAGGAAGAAACACACAATAAATGTGCCATCATACAATTTCTGCGCTGAACTCTGAATTGTTCGAGTGTGTGCAATGTAACTTTTGATTTGTGAGAAGTTGCTAATGCAGCGGTTTGTACAGCAGCTGGAATCCAGGACCAAGCAACGTTTCTTGACTGGCCTTGTGGACGACTTGGGTCACTTGGTATATCATATTGAAACGTGCACATTCTTACGAGTCCTCCAGAACAAATGTGTGAAGCTAAGTGAAGAAAGCGATAGTTGTTTAACAGATGCTTTTCTCGCTTAGGATGGGTGGCGACTAACATCGCTAAGGCTCCCTAAATGCCATCATAATCTCTTCTGGGCTGCTCCAGTTACGCGCAACTCGCATTGAGATGCATTGCTGAGGCAATGACGTCGGCGAGCATCAGCCTTGGTGCTCCTGGTTCCCGTCCGGGGAGGAGGTTGCTCCCACTCTCATTGAAAGGGTGAATAGATATATACTGAAAATAAGGGAGCAAAGAGGAAGGGCAGAGCTAAGCACCCAACTGGTTGGCGCGCCACCCAGAAATCACTGGCGTGGCTTTCCCATATCATTATTGGATGGAAGGGTGTCGTGAGGAAGCCAAACTGACTGAATCAAATGTGGTGGACAATGTTATATGAATCAGCTACCGCATTTGTGATCGAAATTGAGTTTCATGAACGCTCTGAGATTTATGCTGATATGTGCAGAACAAAATGTTTCTAAGCAAACAGCTAGAACATAATTTGAATACGATTAGGATACGACTGTAACCTTTCTTTACAACATTCTTTGTGGCAACGAGACGCTGGTCTTCTTTCAGCCACGTAGAAACACTTGTTAGGAAGGTGTAGCAGCAATAAAGTGCCTCATATATATATTTTTTTCATTGGATGTGTATTACATGACCTACACAGCCGGAAGTTCACGCATGTACCAGCTTACAAATGCATTTGACCAGCGAGCATTCACAATTTCGCATGTGGGCTATGCACCCCACTAGCGAATGAGTTCTAATGCAAAAATTTTTTAAAATGTGTGTGCCAATAAATCCTATACTTTAGCTTTTGGATATTTTAATAAACTACCCTATTTTTGGCCAATTCCTCAGGGTGTGTGCGAGCTAGGATTTTCGGATCTACATCTACATTATATCTACTGCCCGTGCTGAGAAATATGGGCATACTGTTATGTCTGGCTTTCCCAGCACCTTGTACCTTTCGTTCGTTCCTTCTTTTTGCCTGCGTGCGCCGTATGCATTTAATAACTTGCCATGACGTTCCAACGCTTCTGAGCTTCGTCCTACCGGCCGCCGAACGCATCGCTTTTCCTATCGAAAGCGAAACCAAAACGAACAACTCAAGGCTTGCCACTACTCGTTGCCTACACTCAAACTTGCTGCTTAAGTCATAATTCATCAATAACATAGTGCACCCAAAAATACGTTCGATTGTTTTTTTTTATTTAAAAAAATAGCGTGTTTTAGCAAAAAGTATTATATTGCGGCTCAAAATCAAGCGCTCAGTTTACCTGTTCGCCAGCCAATGGGAAGCGTCCGAACTCTCGAGGGCCGGTGCGGTTGGAAATTCGAAAAAGAAGATCGCCAGGGGCGTGCAATGCGCCTATATAACGTGGATTTTAGGTGTTCTGTGTGGATGTTCAGTTCCGGCAGCTCAATAGGTTCACTGCCCACGTCGTCGCAGCTTTGAGTGTTGGCTTGCTCCGCGAACAAGATATCGGATCCTTCAACTGTCGAGTGATGAAGTGTTTCAGCTGAAGACTTCTTCGCTGGCGGTGAGCCAACGGACCCACACAAATCCAGGTAAGAATGGTACGAAGCCCGTTACGGTATTCGTACTTCCTTCGCTCTTTTCCATTCCATTTTGCGCCGTATGCCTAGTGTTTCGGGCACAAAGTGTGCTGCTGTAGGCCTTTGCCCTGTAATTTGACATACCTACTTATCCTCTTGCTCCTTCAATGCTCTTCACGCTGCGCGAGCTAGGGCCCCCGCTCCTTGTTAAAAGCCTCAGAAAAGGAGCGTCAGAAAAGTGGAAGCACCGTTGATGTGCGCTCGCCTGCTGAATTATTTGCTCTCTTAAGCGGTCTTAAGCGGCAACAAGTTAAGAAGCGTTCGGTTCGGGCGCGTTGCATGTGCGAACTGCTTCCCAAGGTTGTCGTAACGCTGGGATAGTATACGCTCGTTGGCAGTCGTCCCCCCCCTTTCTCGTAAGTTTTTTTTTTTTTTTTTTTTTCGCCATGGCATACGTAGCGCAAAATGAAACACAGCCCCGCCGCGGTGGTCTAGTGGCTAAGGTACTCGGCTGCTGGCCCGCATGTCGCGGGGAAATGTTGTAGGCCCGTGTGCTCAGATTTGGGTGCACGTTAAAGAACCCCAGGTGGTCGAAATTTCCGGAGCCCTCCACAACGGCGTCTCTCATAATCATATGGTGGTTTTGGGACGTTAAACCCCACTGTGATGATGTGGATTGTGTGGCCCGTGACGGGGCGAAGAGGGAACGGTAGTTCTGCTCTGCGGTACGCCTTGGAGGGAAGACGAGGAAAAGGAAGCGCGAGCGGGGCGCGCGGCTCGGGCAGTTAGAGCGTGACACGGTTCGAACGGCAGCTGCTGGTCGGCGGTTCGGGTCGCGACATCGCTTAACCAGGCGTCCGGCAGCCTTGCGGACCTGGTGAGCTGGCTTCCCGCTCTGTGGACGGCGCTGACACGGGGACCGGCAGCATAGTCTGTTCGTGGCCTGAGGTCCTGGGGCCCGAGTGGTGGCACGAGGTGGCCGCGGCTCAGGTTGGCGACGGGCCATTAACCTGCTCTGCAGTGGCCTGGTGATCTACCGGCCTGCAGCACCACCATCACCACCACCTCGCCGCAGCGGCAACAGTCATAACGGCGAGTAGGACAGTTCGTGTGCCTAGGCGCGTAGGACGTTTGGCATGTAAATAAGGAACGCTATAGTGTGTTGTGTGTGAATTGTAAGAGTTATCGGTTGTGTTAAAGTCTGTGTTGTGTGTACAGAGTCACCTGACTGCCGGTTGATTTATTCCGGGTCCTGGGCCCACATTACACCCACAATCAATCAAAAGCACCTTGTTTGCTAATCGAAACATGAAAAGTTTTCACAATCTGTCCATTGCCGTTTGAACAGTTGTGTTCGTTTGCTGCCCGAGGGAGGACGCCACCCCTTCATATGCTGATACGTGCTAACTCGGTTGGAGTGCATGCGGGAAAAAGAAATGTGGAATATAATAATTGATGTGATGTAGGAAAGTACAGGACGTTGCAGAGTTAGGGGTATCGGCTGTGTACAACACCATCAGGCCGTGTACAATATCATTTTACCATACTTTAAACAGGTGAGAAAACGCTTCGCACCATTGAAGTGCTATAGAAGGTGTACCTTGCTCAGCTCTTCATTCTGCTGTTGCAACTTTTCGTTTTTCTGCTGCTTTCTTTTTTTTTCCTCGGTGCTGACGCTCTTGCAATGCTCAAACCTCATATCACTTCAATGATATTGTGCTCACATAATCTACTCTCTTGCTTGCATTATGTCTCTACTGAAATGTTAGTACGTGATGTTAATACGTATGTTAATATGCGATGTTAATACGTTTCTTTGGTGCTGTGCACCACAGAGAACATGTTGTTGACCTGTTTTCACTTACCTTGTTAGAAACGAGTGACAGATATGTTTTTTTTTTTTATAGAAACATTGTAATGTGCATTCTACACACTTCCAGCCTTGCCCCGCCGCGGTGGCCTAATGGTTATTGCGCTCGACCGCTAACCCGAAGGCCGCAGGATCGAATGCCAGCTGCATTTTCAATGAAGGCAAAAATGTCTTAAGCCTGTATACGTGGATTTAGGTGGACATTCAAAAACCCCAGGTAGTCGAAATTTCCGAAGCCTTCCGCCACGGTGTCTCTCATAATAATGTTGTGGTTTGGGGACGTTAAACCCCAGATAATATCTTCCAGCCTCAACCACCCACACCGCTAATCTCGTCATTCAAAAAAGCACTCCACGATTTGTACTAGCTACTTCAATTAATTTTATGCACTGTTTTTGTTTGTTTCCCTTCAGTCATAGTTTATTCTGCCGCAATGACCTCTGTAGCCACATGTTCTGTTGCGTGTTATCTAAGGATGTGCTCTTTCAATTTTTCTTTTTAGCAGTGGTAACGCAGCCGTAATCTGTGCCTCATTCTTCCCAGATCTCCAGGGCCATGGAGTCTGGCAAGGTCATTCCAGTACGCGTCGCAGTGCGCAGCCGGCCGCTAGTTTCCAAAGAGGTCATTGAAGGCTGCCAAACTTGCACCAGGACACTTCCAGGCCAGCAGTGCATTGTGCTTGGTGGCGACAAAACCTTTACGTACGACTATGTTTTTGGGGAGCAGTCCAGCCAACTGGAGGTGTATGAAGCCTGCATCTCGGAGTTGCTTCCCAAAGTATTCGAAGGTAAAGAAATGAGTAGATGTGATTTAAGCAGCCTTGTGTTTACACGTCTGTCGAGACCAATTTTAAGGAGAGTTTGCTCTGCCGTACAAGTCTCCTTCCTGTATACGAAAATGGCTGAGCTAGTGGGGAGCTCAGTAAATGGAAGCTACAGTGCTCCATCTCGGTTTAAGAAAGGGAAAGTAGACAACCACCCGTTTGTAGCACAAAGCCATAAGGAAGTCTGTGTGGATTTCTCGAAAGAGAAAAAAAAAAAAAGCTTTCTAGTTGCTGAAAAAGTCGTCCTGATCTGGGGTTCGAGCCCGGGGACGACTCCTTTCTGGGGGCAATCGCTGTGCCAATTGAGCTAACCAGGAAGCGAGCAGGAAACTTGCTAGCTTCCTGCTTTGCTCGACCGGTAGAGCGACCGCCTCGGAAAGGCATTGGTCCCAAATTTGAACCATGCGTCGGGACAAATTTTTTGGCAATCGAGCTTTTCTTTCCGAGAAATCCGTACGGATTTACTTCTGGCTTTGTGCTACAAATAAGTGGATGTCATCTTTCTCTATCTTAACCTTTCCGCCAATTTGCGGGTTTCTGCAAAACTCGTTTGCAATACTTTTATCTCGGTTTGTAGTACACCAAAATAATTATTCAGAGGTCGAACGTTCAGTCGCTGCCAGCAGAAAATTATCTTTTCGTTGCTTTTTTTTTTATTTGCATTCACAATTGCTAGTAATAACATTTCCTATGTTTTCTCTGGCATCAATAACTGCATTATTGCTTTTTTTGACTGAACTCTCACTTCCCAATGCATTTTCTAAGCTTTTGAGGTCTTGCCTTTTCATTTGATGTAAAAAAAAATGACTCAAACTTTTTGTGTTGGTGCCTTTTTGACAAGATGCATCACGATCTTCTGTCACCATGGTAAATCCAAACTAAAAATCGCCGTTGGTGATCATGTTGAGTGTACGTTGAAATTTAAATATGACTAAAAATGTTCGCAATTTAACTGCAGTGTTGTACATAAGGGCAATGTCGAATTCACTTGTATCAAATCATTAGTCCAGCCAACAGGCCGATTGTTTTGTCTGTTGCTGGATTGGTTGTGCATGGCAATGTCGGACACTTTTATATGGCAATCGCAACTAGGCTTGCTCTGTGACAATAACATTGCGAAGTGGCTAACAGTCTTTTTCTTTCCAAGCAATGCGATGCACTTTGACGATTCCCCTTGGAGTTCATTTCTTATGATGGCGATTGATAATGTAATCGTCGGAGCACAATTCACCACCACATGCACCACAATGTCCTCTGGTATGCAACAATTCATGCGAGTTATATGAGCTGAGCTGTCTTCAGGCATCTTCTGATGATTAGGCTTTTGTCGCATACATGGTTATGTCCGTGCAATAGATTAATGGACATGTTTGCTTTTCATCCTTGTTTGTTCAGTGGCATCGGTGTACACGTGACATCATCGTGTCTAAAAGCATGCGTTCGTACTAACTTCTTGCTTGCAAGTCGCTGCCTGTCCCTTTGTATCCTTCTTAATCGTCATGTTTTCGTGATGTGTCAATTGTGTATTTCAAATGACAACTCGCTGCTGCAGGCTTCAATGTCACAATCCTGGCGTATGGCCAGACTGGGTCTGGGAAGACATTCACCATGGGCACATGCTGCTCATCGAACCGTGCGAACTCTGAAGATGCAGGAATAATTCCGAGAGCCGTCCAAGACATCTTCAGGCACATATCTACTGACAGAGACAAGGTCTTCCTCGTCAGAGCGTCCTTTCTTGAGGTGTGTGAAGTTTCTCACACTGGCTTTTCTATTGTTCTAACTTCTTACCCTCTCCATGTGCAACGTCGCAAGCATTCGACACGTGTAAGCAGTCTAAGGTGGCATACTGTCATGCAAAGGCGCAGAGGGCAGACGTGATGCGGTTTCGTTCATGGTGTCCATTCATCCTGATGACATTGTTTAGTACAGATTCCTACTTCATGAGATAAGTCACTCGGTTAGCTGTCGTGAAACTGCATCACTCGTGGATTGAAACATGAAAGTTTAGTGTGCAGGCTTTTGTTTTCGGTGCCTGCAGTTTGTGTCATAGTACCAGCAGAAATTTGACTCGCACAGTTGTAACAGGGCAAACATCGCCTTTACCAGCCAGCCAGATCTGCCTCAACGTGACTCGGTTATCATGAGCAATGGGTCATGGCAGTCGTTATACTAAAAAAAATAAAGAATATGGACGTTGCATTTCAGTTCATACGTACTGTACATAGTTTCACTGAATCTGCGACCGTGCACTGCAGGCTTTCACTACTCTGGGTATTTTATGGACTCTTTCCTTTAACACTGACTCTCTGCTTATTGTGCTCCTAATCCTTTTTGCAGATCTATAAAGAAGATGTATTTGACCTGTTTTCCAAAAACCCAGACAGAGAGTCTCTGAACATTCGAGAAGACCAGACAGGAAATATAAAGGTAAAATTTCCTGATGCGCTTATTTTTTAGTGAGAAATGACACAAGAAAGACTACAGGACAGAGCTTTGTCCTGTAGTCTTTCTTGTGGTGATGTTTTGCGCCAAAAAATAATTGTTATGGATTCTTGCCAACTCATTTTTTTACAGATGTGACTGCATCGGATAGTGAAGTGCTTTTTGTTGACTCCTGTTTGACTTGAATGAATTGAATACATAAGCGGGCTCCATTGATTGACTACAATTTTATAAAGCTGTGCCATATGAGGCAACGCCATGGAAATCTCGGTTTAAGTTTTGATCATTTGGTAGGATTGGTTACTCTGGGCTGTTGTGACCAGACTATAATGACCACATATTTAAAAATGCCTGCTTATGTTTCGTAGTCTAAATTGAATGAAATGAAACACTGTCACTGACAAAGTTTGTTGATGATCTGATGTTTCAAAACCACGTACTGGTTCCTTGTTCACTGAGCTGGACTATAAGTTGTCAATTATGAAGCCAGGTGATGCAACGAGCATATGTAGATAGCAGGCATATTTCTTAATGTCCTCTTCATCGCAGCCGGCATTGACTAGATGATCAGTCTAGGAGCTGGTGGGATAACATGGTTTTTACCGTGGTGACGACATGAGCATTCTCCCTTTCAATGATGCGAGTTCTTCTTGGATAGCTGATGCTAAGCAATGCTAATGGTCGCCCAGTTTACGGAAAGGATGTTGCCACTTGCTATCGCATAGTGCTGATTCGTAGCACACAGACTTCTTGAAGTTTTTGACAATACTTTCCATATGTTAAAGCGACACTAAAGATAAAAACGAATTCTCACGTATTGGTAAAGTACAATTTCACAATCCCAAAAGCGCCACTGTTACCGCGAAACAACGCTTGGCAAGTGAGAAAACGTGCAAAAAGGAAACGTGGGTGGAGACGCCATCTTAAAATTTCTTCACTAGAAAAGGTGACGTAGATTTTGAAGGCATGTACTGGGTTTTATCTAGCTTCTAATCAATAAAGTACATTGTCATCTATTGGTATTGACCTAGCAAGCAATATTAACGAATTATCTCAAATTGCTTGAACTACTTTGATGTCAAAGTTATAAAGATGTTAAGGCAATAATAAGAACCCTAAATGGACACTAAAGGCAACTATCAAGTCGACGTTAATTGTTGAAGTAGCGGTCCAGAAACCTTGTAGTGATACTCTTGTGCCAAGGAAATGGCTTATATAAAATAAAATCGCATTTCAGTGGCCCGCATCGCTTCAATTTACCCGCCCCAAGAAGCGATCCGACTCGCGTCACTTGCCGTGCACAACGCTGCCCGGCTTCACTGTGCGGTCGCTGACACTAGTAGACAGAACAAAAGCAGTGGGAGCCACAGCAGCGACAACGGCTATTGATCAATTTCCTGCCATTGGCTCTGAAATGGTAGACGTGTTCAACTGCGCCCCGCTAGATGGCACGACCTGTCCAGTTTAACCACGCGAAAATTTAATTTTTTAAACACTTGCGCCATTCTTCATATTAACGTCCGGCAGTTCTTTTTCGATGAATCAAACAGAAATGAACAAGCAGCAATTTATTGCGTCTCTTGATGCACAGAAGGTTCTCATTTAGTGCAGCTAGATTGATTACTAGTGAATTATTGTGGGCAGTTTGTCTGATGTCATCGGTATCATTTTGAGAATGTTCTACTGTGGCGGATGTATTGTGTATTTACCTCAATTTCTCGGTAAGTAGGGTACTGCTGTTGATAATATTGTCATTTTAGATCTTGTCATGCACTGAGCTTTCACTCTGATGTAAATTGTTATTTGACATTAGTGTCCCTTTAAATTTGTTTACATTTTTTGGAAACTTGCCATTTACCATAATCATTTTTGAAACATGCAATTTTGTCATTTTTAGTTGAGCCCCTCTCATTCAGGTAACCCATGTCGCACTTGCATGGGTATGGAAAACTCATTCGATGGGTGAATGCCATTAGCTGGGAATTTCACTCGCTGTGTTGGTGTAGAATCGAGAAGAAAATGGCCCTAATGCCTAAATATATTTGCTGTGAATGGCATTCCATGTGCCATGTGACTAGGGTATTAGCTAAACCATCCTCTCACAAACACATTTCTTTCATGGTGCAGATCGCGAATTTGACGGAATTGAGCGTGACCACTCCCGAAGAGACGATCCGTCTACTGGAGGTAGGCTCTGCATCTCGGAGCACCGCCTCAACCAACATGAACATGCGCTCTTCGCGGTCGCATGCCATCTTCACGCTCATCGTCGAGCAGCAAGACAAATCCAGCAACGGTGCCGTAACTGTGGCGAAATTTCATCTCGTCGATCTTGCTGGCTCCGAGAGAGCTGGAAAGACCAAAGCTGTCGGGGAAAGGTTCAAGGAAGGTTTGTTGGACTGAGAAATGTTATATCTTCGCAGCATGCATCAATTTTAACGCTGGGGCAATGTTGAGCGAAGCGCTTGTTGCCATAAATCTGCAAGCTTGCTCGTGAGTAGAATTACTCGGGCTCTAATTCTGAGGCCCAACTCTGATCTGAGGGCCAAACTGTGTAATACTTTAGTGAAATTGAGCTTAAGCAAGTATGGTTGAAAAAACCTTTGGAGTCTGAATCTGTCTGAACCCTTAACGCAAAATTTGAGTCGGGTGCTTTTTTTTCCCCGTCCTATGTTTGTCGTACATCACTATTCGGTTACTTGATATCTCAAACTAATCAAATAAGGGATGACAATAATCTGCCATCACTTATTTCCACTGAAACAGATTTTACAAAATATTGCGAGCTATTGTGCAGTTTTGTCAAAAAAAGTATTTTTAACATACTTAGTTCTTATAGGTAAAAATGCAGTCTTGTAGGGCTAACGAACTTCAGTAACCTTATTTCCGCTGTCTTAATTTGTCACCAAAAGCATGACTGGAGCAAGTTGGTTCATTTATTTATTTATTCAAAATACCTTACAGACCCAACAGGGCATTGTGTAAGGGGACCATAAAAGGAATAGATACATGAATTGGTACAATTTCCATACATGCAATAAACATAAACTGATTGTCAATATTTATACAAGTCCTAATAGGAATAACGAGAAAATATTAATTTTATTAGGAATATAACGGCAATGAAAGTCCTATGAGTATAAATGTGAGATAATGACGTAAAACAAGCTAAAAAAGCAAGTACATATTGTAAAGACTTTCCATTATTCAAAAGAAAACATCTCTCAAGAATACACAACAGAACTGAATGGCATGTTAGTAATCAAACCATCAAAAAAAAAAGTTTAAATTAAAAGGGAAAAAAAGCGAGATACTAGTAGTAAATAAGCGCGTAGGTGCCGATTTTGATATGAACAAACCGAGCAGTTAATCCCGGAAATGGGTGAGTAGAAGGTGCCGGAATTTTTCTCGATTGCGTTCAGCTACGATTTCATCTGGAAGGTTGTTCCACATGCGGATTACACGGGGAAGTGCAGATGAGTTAAATATGTAAGTTTTGCCATACATGCGTGTGAATGAAAGGTGATTATTAAGTCTCTTTGATGTGAATGCAGATGTTTGCAATGTCATTGATAATGACCATCTTTCATGTACGTATTTATTAAATAATGAAAGGCGGTTTATATCGCGTCGGCTGCTCAAAAGGGAGAGTGATAAGTTTTTTTTTTTAATTTGTGTTATGCTTGCGCTATGATCGTAGTTTTGCGGGATGAATCTAGCGGCTCTATTTTGGATCGACTCCAGCATGTTAGTTAAATAGCCGTAATGAGGGGACCAAACTGCAGAAGCGAATTCCAGCTGAGGGGGAACAAAAGTTGCGTAAGATAAGCAACGTATATTTTGGGCCTCTTGCGTAGATTGCGGCGTATGTAGTCTAATGATCGTGAGGCGTCGCTACAGATGTTGGTGATATGGGTAGTCCAAGAAAGGTTAGATGTGAAGGTTGCACCCAAATATTTAAGAGTCATCACTGGACACACGATTGCCATTAATAAAGTAAAACTCGGAGCTAGAATGTTTGCGAGAGAAGGACATTGCTTTACATTTACTTGAATTAAGGGACATTAGCCAACTATTACACCAATTGCTGATGAGGTCGAGGTCATTTTGAATTATTAAGTGATCACAAGTACTAGTTATTGCTCGGTAAATTATGCAGTCGTCAGCCAAAATGCGCACTTGTGAGGATAAATTACTTGCTAAGTCATTAATATAAATAAGAAAAAGCAGTGGACCGAGAACACTCTCTTGTGGTACACCAGAACAAACGTATGAAAGTGGGGATGAAAAATCATTAACAATGGTGAATTGCTGCCGGTTAGTAAGAAAGTTCCGTATCCATGATAGAGTTGATGAATCTATACACAAAGAAGAGAGTTTAGAGATTAAGCGGCAGTGAGCAACACGATCGAAAGCTTTGGAAAAATCCAGAAATAGACAGTCAATTTGCAGGTTTAGATCTAAGTGATGATTTAGGTCAGTCGTGAATTCGAAAAGCTGTGTTTCGCATGATAGGGCCTTTCTAAATCCATGTTGGTTTGGGAAGAAAGTCATTCTGTTCTAAGTGATTATAAATATGGTAGGCAATTATATGCTCAAGCATCTTACAGCAGATGGATGTGAGAAAAATGGGTCTATAATTTTGGGGTGAGTTTTTATTGCCGCTTTTAAACACGGGGATGACCTTTGCAATTTTCCAGTCATGTGGAAGCTGTCCTGTTGATAGTGATTGCTGAAAGATGTGACATAATGTTTTGCTCGAGGGCGAGACCGTACTTTTTAGTATCTTAGTGTTAATCTCGTCAACGCCCGCTGATGTGGAAAGCTTAAGATTATGTATTATAGATGCGATTCCGTCAACAGTGATTTCAATGGGCTGCAAAAAGGGATAGTCAAGATCGGCTACAACGGGGACGTTTGTATGATCTTCAGTGGTGTAAACTGATGTAAAGAGAGTATTGAAAGCGTTAGGACAGTCTTGATCTGGAATGGAAATGTGGTTGTCATTTCGCAACGTGATTTTGTTAACGTGACGTTCTGGGCACACTTGTTTCCAAAACTTCTTTGCGTTAGTGGTGAGCAGTGACAGTAGATCATCACAGTCACGGGTGGTGCGTATCGCGGAGCAGTAGCTATTCAAGAAGTCTCTATACCTTTGCCACGACGCAGCAGTTTGCGCGCGTTTAGCAGCCGCGTACAATCTCAATTTTTTATTCCTTAATCTGTTAAGTGATTTATTAAACCATGGATTTTGTTTATCATTTGTCATTTTGATTGTAGGAATATGTTCACTAACTAATGAAGCTAACTTGTTTTTGAAGAGTGTCCAGTTGTCTTGTACGGATCGATTATGAAAGGATGGTAAAAGAGCGCTCTCAAAGAACGTACATAATTCATCATTTATAACAATGCAATTGCCTCTACTATAATCGTGAATTGTTTTTGCTTTTGCTCCTGCGAGACGAAATGGGACGATAAGAATTATTTGCATTAACCGGTGGTCACTGAAGCTATCTATGTATGCTAAGTATCGCAAGTACAGTGCAACAAATGTAGAAAGGAAAACGGCTCTTTCCTGCCTGTCTTTCTCTCTAGAGTTATTGCGCCATATCTACGATGGTCAGTTTACGCGTATCGAAGGTACAATGCAACAAATGTATTAAAGGGGTGATGCCACCATTTTTGTGGCCTGCAAGTGTTTGCTGTGTGGTTTGCACGTTTTGCTGCAACACACACTAAGATTTATTTATTCTCTTCAAATAAATTAATATTGCCTTTTTCATGTGGACAGCTTTTGGTTTCTGGGTGCCGAATTGGGCTGTGATGTAGCAGTGTAGCTTGGTCGCGTGGCCACGCAAGGCTGCGACGCATGCCATGCTGATTGTCGTCTGCTCTCGCTAGCTTTCTCGCACACACTTGCCACACAAGCACCTACAAAACAAACGTGTAGCAGCCCCAATGCTCTACCGTTATGTCTCCGGAACTCGCTGCCCTCGCGACAATAGGCGTGCACACGGGAGGGGGGGTAACGGGGCGAGCGCTCCCATAGTCTCCTACGAGGTGGATTGACATAATACGGAGGGGCCACTGCGATCAACCTTTGATCCCCCTGAAGGGGAAACCTACGCACGCCTACGCTCACTACAGGTCTGGTGGGATGTCGCTGAAAGTTTCGTTGCCCTTCCTACAGAACTACGACAGTTCTGGACGTGCTTGCGATGGGCTTTGGTTGGGAAAATGGGCAAAATGGGACTTTGGAGGTGAATTGAAATACCTTCTAAAGGTTCGCTAGATAGTTTTGTACAGTATATCGCCGAGTCTTCGCTCGTTTCTATGGAGGTGGTTGGCAATGTGGTGGCACTCTCTACTTAACTTTTTTTTGTTTCTTTCTTTTTTCTGCTTCAAAATTAACCTTTGCCACTTGTCCTATTTATTTTTCTTCAATTTGGTAGCCTGCAATACTTCGGTGCAGCAGGCAGGGCATTGTTGTTTAATCTTAAAATAATGAAAATAAAACTTTGCCGACACAAACCTGTCTGCCTGTCCGACCATTCATTCATGTGGAGTGTCCTAGCATACGCAGGAAACCCACGGGAGGTTTGTTTTAGCCTCTTAATTTGACAACACCCCATCAAGAAAAACTGTGCCCTGTCCTGTTCGTTTTCCTCTCTGCATTTGTTACACAGTATCTATAATCGGTTCGCATCATATCTGTGCAATTTCCACTCAAACATTTGCGTCAGAGCAAACGTTATCTTTAGCCATCAAATTCATAGCATGACTTCGTACAATTGTGCCTACCAGTTATGCTAAAGGTTTTCATGTCACCTTTTGAACTTTCAATACTGTACATGTAGCTCTTGTTTAGCACGTGTGCAGCTTGTGCTACGCTTATGATACTATACAGGTTGCACTTGTATACAAGTTTATACAATAGAGTATGGCAAGAGCTGTGTTCTCTGCATCTTGATATTTTACCTTGCACCTTTTTGTTTTGCTGTAGTGTACTCGCATACTTTAGAATCTCGATGATACAATTACAGTTCATGCGAATTCCACGATAGTACGAATTTTAAGGTTGTTGTGGATAGACTTCATTATATACAGCCCCGCCGCGATGGTCTAGTGGCCAAGGTACTCTGCTGCTGACCGATGGAGGCGGAAATGTTGTAGGCCCGTGTGCTCGGATTTGGGTGCACGTTAAAGAAACCCAGGTGGTCGAAATTTCTGGAGCCCTCCACTACGCCATTTCTCGTAATCGTATGGTGGTGTCGGGACGTTAAACCCTACATATTAATCAATCGGAATTCATTATATACGATCCTGTATATCTGTAGCTGCGATTCGGTGTTATACGAACGGTTTTTCCAGCTACCACGGATGATACGAATGTGCGATTGACCGGTGCATGCCAGCGGCACAACGAGGTTTGCCTGCGAGAGGAAGGCCCATTCACTCTTAGACCCGAAGGAAGTGAATGTGGCAAAACTCGCCGGAATTTTCCCCGCTTTAGTCGTTGGAAAAACACGCCGCGAGGCTGACGTGAAAAAATCGGTTGGAGATGAATTTCCCCGCCACGCGATAGCGTATTGCCTTTTTGCTTCACGACTTTGGCTACACCAGCTGCTCGAGCTCTAAAGCTACATGATGTAAACAACCAGCCGCAAATTCAGTATGGCGACAAATGCGTCGATGGTGGATCGCATGGGCGCTGTTGCAAACTCGAAGCGCGTTGAAGCCTGCGGCCTTGACGAGTGTGGTTCTTCGAGAGCTTGGTTTAGATTACGATCGCTCAGAACAACTTAAGTAGAACGTGTAGCAGCAGCGAGTCGGCATGTCTTAAAGTATCTCGCTTTTGCACTGCCAGGTGAATCTGTCGCCACCGCTGTGTCAGCTCGTGTCGTTGCTGCTGGTGCATCTTCCCAATGTTTGCACCTTGACAAACAATGTTTTTAAAGGTGCAAACTGTTTTTTTTTTTTTTTTTAGTGCTTTGCATACATAACTAGAACTCTCCCCGTTTCCCGAGCATTGAAGCTCGTACAGAGTGAAATAAATTCTCAAGTGGCGATGGCGGGGGTGGCATGTACGAGGGGCAGAACGAATGCGACGGCTGTGGACATGGTTTTTGTTGTCACTCTGGCGTGTTCGCTTGAATTCTCCAGGACAGATTTTTTTTGTGGTGTGGTTTTTCGGTCCGGAAGAAAAGTTTCCAACGAGTTTGGTCGCTTTCGCTCTCTTTAATGTCGAGTGTCAACGCGCCGTGCCAGCAGTACGAGTGAGGGAACTGCAGCACTTTATTGAAAAACGGTGAAGGAGGGAAAGTTCAAAAGAACATCGTGGACTTTTTTCAGGAACAAGTAGTTGCAAATAAAGTTCTTGTTCGTCTTCAATATCGGCATTTACTCGTTTTTGGTTTATACAAACTCTGGATGATAAAACTATTTTGCGTGATTCCTTCGAATTTGTATCATTGAGATTCTACTCACTATTATCTTTTTTTTTTTTTCATTTCATTACATTGTTAAATGCATCTTTCTCCTTTGTATGTGGTGCATTCCTATGTGGGCCTTTAAAGGTATTCTGAATTCTGAAAGGTATTCAGACAAAAGTCTCCTCTTTCCTGCTTTTTCTCTAGAATTGATTTATTGATATGTGGGGTTTTACGTCCCAAAACCACCATATGATTACGAGAGACGCCGTAGTGGAGGGCTCCGGAAATTTCGACCACCTGGGGTTCTTTAACGTGCGCCCAAATATGAGCACACGGGCCTACAACATTGCCGCCTCCATCGGCAAAGCAGCCGTCACAGCCGGAATTTGATCCCGCGACCTGCGGGTCAGCAGCCGAGTACCTTAGCCACTAGACCACCGTGGCGGGGCACTTACCGTGGCGGGGCACTTTTTCTCTAGAAGTCAAACTGTACTGTGTTATTCTCGTGCAGGCATCACCATAAACCAAGGCCTTCTGTCACTTGGAAATGTCATCAGTGCCCTCTGCGATGGCAATTCCCATGTGCCCTACAGGAATTCAAAGCTTACCCGTTTACTGCAAGGTATGTAATAGGATGATTGGCTTAAGCTTAGCTCAATTTAATAGATCCATTGATTACAGATGATAGCATGCGCTTGCAGAAGTTTGTTAATCGCAAAACAGAAAACTGCTATTTCTGAACTATGTAAAATGGTAGACTAGTGATAGACTAGTGAACAATTTTATTAGTTGTGATTGGGCTTCTGCGAATATTTGAATGCTCGGGGTATTCGAACGAGTATAAGAGTATATAAATTCGTTTTGAATCAAATCTAAAATATTGAATATTTTGAAGTAGTTAAAATAAAGTAATAAATTATTACTTTGCATGTAACCCTTCTATAAAGGTGGTTTCACTGTCGTGAACGAGTGCTGAGTCGTAAAAAAATTTGTCTATTATATATTGACTCGCATGTAACCTTTTGTAAAAATGGTTTCACAGCAACAAAGGAATGATAAGCAGTAAAAACGTTCATCCAGGAGAAATTCGCACTGCTAAAAAGCCCCATTTTAAGGTTAAATGAACATATTGCCTTCACATCGATTCATTTTTAAGTTTAAAAGGTCGTTATACTGGTTTATATGCCCTAAGTAAAATTTTTAAAACTCGTAATTTATAGGTTATCACTAGCATTCTACCGAAAGTCGGATCCTGCTATCATTCAGAGTTGTTTCTATTTACTTTAAAATAAAGAAATGGCATTTGTTTCAATATTCAAGAAATGTGCAGGTTGATTAGGTTATGACAAACATGGCCATTTTTTTCTTTATAATATGTGATATGTACAATTTGATTCGAAATTATTCAACCAAAATCATTCCCTTCAAGTTCGCTTTGAACCTATACTTCACTATTCACACAAGCCTAGTTGTAATGATTCTAGGCTGTCCTTGCGCACACTGCAGTTCGCCGAGCTCTGCCCTGACGGCTGTAGCTGCTCCGACATTGTGGCCTTGTCTTTCGAGCACAAGTACACCTTTACAACAGTTCTACTTTTTCTCTAACATTCCTGGCTAGTGTTTTTGCCTGTGTGCCATCGCTGACAGTCTTGGACAACAAAGTAATCCTGCAAATTAATATTTTTCTTCCTAATGCACCTTTTTTTTAAATCTAGATTCGCTGGGCGGCAACAGCCACACAGTAATGATTGCCTGTGTCAGCCCGGCAGACAGCAACTTGGACGAAACCTTGAACACCCTGAGGTATGCAGACCGGGCGAGGAAAATTAAGAACAAGCCCATTGTAAACATTGACCCCCAGCAAGCAGAAATTGTCCGGCTTCGCCAGCAGGTGAGTCTTTCTTGCGAGTGCAACATTCATCATCATCGACAATGCAAGTGAGTTGCCGATAGTAGACTCAACTCTAAATACTACTACCAGCAAAGTTTTACCTTTCGAGTTAGCTGATGTGCTCTCAGCGTCAAATGAAACCCGAGCAGTGGCAGCCTTCGCAATAGTATAGTGCACACCGTTCGGTTATTCCTGTTGACAGGTGTGCCCATCTTGTTCGGCAGCTCTGTGCATATATGCGTGCCCATCCATTATGATAAGTGAAGGGCGTGCGCTATACCATCGCGAAGGCTTGCAGCTGTTCGGGTTTCATTTGACGCTGACAGTACATAAGCACATCATCACATTTCGGCATATTACAGGAAATGGTTTGCCTTGTCTGGTGCTGTTTGTGAGGATTTCACGGATGGGCCCAGGAAAGTGTAGTTTTTGCTCTAGTGGGGTCATTGTGGTGATCCTACAGGTGTAGGTGAGGGAACGAAGATTGTCGTCTGAAGCTGCTAGGAAATATACTCTGATATCTCAAAGAAAGCTGCCTAGCTCAAGGAAAATCATCTTCGTTGTCTTTATACCCTTCCCATTATTGATGCCCGTTTTTTATTGGCGTGGAGGGAGGTGCAAAGGGGTGAGATCGCCTTGTACTTGAGCAAACCAGGAGGCTTGCACATATAAGCATGAAGGTAAACTACTTCACACTAAGCGTTCTGGCTTTAAGCTTGGAAAATATGCCTTGTGGAAGAAGTGCACAAAAATTATGTTGCGGAAAAGGGAAGAATGGCAGAAACTGTCTCGCCCATAAACTTAACTTGTATTAGTGCGATCTTGGCACCCATCTTTCTTTACATCTGTGTCGTCTTTCCTTCTTAAATGTACTGCACTAATACAAGCAAAGTTCATGGATGAACAACTCGCCTGAGCTACAACACTTCATCCATAGACATTCCTGTGCTTTTTCCTGCAGTGTACAATTCAAAATTACTCCTCATATACGAAGCATTAGCTAGTGGTGTTGGGGTGGTAGGCAAATGCCATGACATCTTGTATGAGTGTTGGGGCAAGAACCCTCAGACTTGGGCCATATTGTGTAATCCTTAATTTGGAGTCATTAGAGACTCAACGAAGATTAGTTTCCTTTTAAATTGGTGTGTGTGTGTGGATGAGTGCATGTGTTTTAGGTGATGTCAACGATTGCAAGTGTTCTTATGTTTGCGAATTGTTCTGCAGAATCCCGGGTTCAGGGAAATTAAAGGGACACTAAAGAGCAAAAGGATTTTTCGCGTATTAGTAAATTAAGTTACTTAGCTTCTATTAGCGCGGCACATATGAAAAGGAAAGAGGAAAGAATACAGAGACGTCAAGACAGGTAGGCGCTAAACTTCCAACTGTTTATTTCATGCACTTGACACCCATCTTATACATGCGTAGAAACACGACTCATCTTGCACGTGGTGACATCCCAAGAAACGTCATTTCCTTATCTGTCAAAGCAATCGAAGGTGAACTCACACACAAGTTCCCCATTTTTTCTATTGCCTCGGCTTCTTTGATCTCACGTGTCAGCTGATTGCGAGACCGGCTGATAACGGTGCAGCTATACAGATCAGGGGAGCACCCACACTCCTTGCAGTGCGCCGCCAAGAACCCTCCCGCTGAAAGTTTATTTCTCGCGTTGTAAGCATGTTCCCGCAGTCTATCATTAAGACACCGCTTAGTCTGTCCTATGTAATATCTTCCACACGATAACAAGAACACGTACACAACGCAACACACACAATCTACATATCTAACCTGATGTTTCTTATCACATACTAAGCGAATAGAACTAATTGGGCAGGTCAACTTGCAAAGCTCCCCTAGTTTTTTGGGGGCTGAAAACACCACACGTACGTGAGCCCGCTGGGCTACCTTCTTCAAGTTATGAGAGACAGTATGCATATATGGGATTACGCCTATTCTGCTACCCGAACACTCCAACACTTGTTGCCTATCTTTCTGTGAAGCTTTGAGGATACGCTCAGCTACAGAGACCTGCAGCAGAACAGGGTACCCTGCTTCGGTGAGACGCTTACTCTGAGTCATGAAACTGTGTGCCATTTTGTGATGACACGATTTTGCTAGGGCGTTTTTAAAACACAAGTTTGCGATTCCTCTCTTTATAAGCTTAGAGTGCGCCGAGACAAAAGAAAGCAGAGGCTTATTTGCCCGTGGCTCATACGACCAGCAAGTGTGATTTCCTAGAAAAAACAACCGGATATCCAAAAACCGCAGAGAGGCACCTTGGGGGAGCTCGCAAGTAATTTCAAGGGGTGCGAGACATTCCTTAATCGCTGGTAATACTTCTTCAACCTTCGCTTCTAGGTCAACTGGTGTACAGTCCATCAAAAACAGGAAATCATCGACAAAACGAAAAGATTTGCACACTGGAGTGTCGTCTAACGTTGAGGACAAGGAAGTGCTAAGGCTGGATAAAAACAGATCACTAAGAATGGGTGCTATGCACGAGCCGATGCATACACCGTTTTTTTGCAAATACAACGCGTTGTCCCATGAGATAAAAGTAGAGGAAAGGTAAAAAGATAAAAGTTCTAAAAAGTGACTCAACGATAATGAAGCTTCATTTTGAAAGCGCGTGACACCGTAATCATCTATGGCATGTTCAATAGCAGACAACAGAGCACCATGAGGTATCGAGTAATACAAGTCTTTTATGTCCACCGAGAAGGCTTGGTAACTGTCATGTGTGTGGTTATTCAAGAATTCAATTACCTGATCGGAGTTCCTAATCAAGAAAGGATCATTAACGGGTAAACAAGCAAGCTTGGCTTGAAGAAACAAAGCGACTGACTTTTGCCATGTGTCATTTTCTGAAATAATTACCCTCAACGGAACGTCTGGTTTGTGGGTCTTAGCGCTGAAGAGAACTTCAAGGTGACCTCGTCTGCTGTCATTGACACTTTTCTTTAGCTTATCAAGATTCAGCCTACTACACAGTTTCTTGGCCTGCGCCTTAACTTTTGTCGGAACGACCTGATCATGCACTTTGAAAACACTGGAGATGGCTTCCTTCGCCTTAGCACAAAACGTGGCTGCAGGCTAAACAGTTGGAAGTTTAGCGCCTACCTGTCTTGACGTCTCTGTATTCTTTCCTCTTTCCTTTTCATATGTGCCGCGCTAATAGAAGCTAAGTTCATGGATAACCAACTCGCCCGAGCCACAACACTTTAGTAAATTAAGATTTCACAACTCCGAAAATGCCACTCTTACCATAACACGGTGCTTAGTAAGCGAGAAAAGGCGCAAAAAGAAAACATGGGTCGCAATGCCACCTTGAGATTCTCGCATTAAGCACCGTGACATAAGAAATGTTTAAAGCATCTACACAGCTCCTATGTAGCGTTCATTCGATAAAAATGAAGTACGTTGTGACCCGAGTGTGCCATAGACTCGGGTTGTGACCCGAGTGTGCGAAAGTTCAGAAAATTTATCATAGAGCCAATATCACAAACATACCATATTGAAATTCGCGCATCGCGCGAAGAGATCTCGGCACAAATTCTAAAAATGAAACTTCAACCTTGATTTTCTCAGCGGATAATGAACTTGTTATAGTGAAACATATGGCATTACAGTGCTCGGAATGCAGTTTGTCGAACTAAACCAGGTCAACAGCCGCTTGTATGTAGCACAAAGCCACAAGACACTCCAACCAGACAAATTATTTTTCCACTTGGCTCTCTTCCTGAGAAACTTGTATGAATTTCCTGATTGATAACCAGCCCTTTTACAGCAGAAGCAATTTTATAGTTTCTGTTTACAGAACATCTGGTGGCAACTATTTTTTAACTTTGCAACCTATGTTATCTACACAGCACTTGCCACCAAGCATTGTGATGGTGACTTTGGGGCACTCTGCTTAGAGCCAGGGCAGATACATTGTCACTAGCAGTTTTGTTATTTGCCCAAATCTTGATATAACGAACCTGTATAGAACAAAATATTGGTTCCCCGCAGGGGCGCCTGCGCAAGTAGGCGTTTGGTGTGTAGTGACACCACAAACCCGAGCTAACGGGGGAGGTTTCGACCCCCTTCCACGCCTAGCCGTGCGTGGCTTTGCAGTGTCCGGGGAAAAGGGGATCCTGGGGGTTGAGCCAATGCTGGGTGATTAGACTTGTAAGGCCCCCCAGTGGCGGCAACACACCCCTTTGGCCCCGGCTTCACGTAGACGGCACCCTCGGATTGACCCGCCCGGGGGAATCGGCAATTGCCTTTCTCCACCTCGCATCTTCGTCTTTTCTTTTACTTTAAATCTTTCCTGTCCTCTACTCACTTCCATTGACTTCCGTGTATCCTGGCGGCAAGGGTTAACCCTGTGTGGCTATCCTACCTTGGATACACCATATTCGGTTATAGTGGTGGCGTACAGCTGGCGTCTGCAGGGCCTGTACTTCCAGACCCTGCAACTTCCCCTTGTAGGACTCCATGGTGGGTGGCTGGCGTCGCTGCCGAAAATAAACATTTACATATGGCTTGTTCCTTTCCCCCACTCCTTGATCGCCCTCGGAAAAGAGGGCGCACCGATGAAGTCTTCCAGTTATCCACGCTGACACACCCGGCAAATCGGTGCGAACGCTCTCACCTTTTCTAGTTTCAAAGTCTTTGAAGGAAATCTTTGGCCCAGGATATAAAGCATCGAGAATGGCAAGTGGGGACCTCCTGTTGGAGCTCCGCGACAAGACACAATATGAGAGACTGCCTAATCTAGTGAAATTCGGAGATACCAAATTAATAGTAACCCCACACCGAACCATGAACACTACCCGTGGCGTTGTTTCAGATGATGACCTGTTAGGGCTGACGGAGGCTGAACTCCTGGAGGGTTTTAGCGAACAGAATGTCATCAACGTGAAACGAATTAGGATGAGGCGTGATGGCAAAGAAATCCAGACTAATCACCCGATACTTACTTTCAATTCAAGTGTACTGCCCAACTCCGTTGAAGC